CAGTGGGGGCCGTTCCCTCACTGTTTCCAGGATGGCTTCACGGGCCACATGAAACCACTTCGCGGGCCACATCCGGCCCCCAGGCCTTGTGTTTGACATGTCTGTCCTAAATCAACCGTTTCCAATTTCATGGAAAGTCTAATTTTAAAAATAGTATAAGGAAATGTGCTAGGGAGAAAGAGAGAGACTCAGCATCTCTTCTCTCTCTTCTCCACTCTTCCAGGAGGACCCAGCAGTTGTTAAGGTCCTCAGTGGGTTTGTCCAGGACAATGGGACAACAGCTTTGCCCAGCAAGCATTTTTACAAATGTGTACACCATAGAAAGTCATTCAACCCCTTTATTGCTTTGAGGTATTGTGAGTTAATGTTGCTATGGAACCGAAAATAAAGGTTGTGCTAAAAAACATGTAGTTACAGTTAGGTGCTCCATTAGCAGGTTTAATAAAGGGCATACAGCATTAGAGAAATCGAGCTGTCAGCATGCAAGAGACTGTTAGAAATTGCTAGTTCCCAACCAAGCAACACTAAAGATGAAAGATCTGTTAATTATTATGTACAATGTGGTAAATATTTAGCTCATTAGTGGACCAGGGGCTGTTACGGTCACTTCACTAGCCATTTTGTATATTACTAAGAAGAGTCAAACTTATCCTTAACTTAGAAATTTTTTTCTGATAAAACAATTTGTTTGCTGAAAACTGTTGCTATTGTTTGAACTCCTTGCAGGAGTTTGATTTTTAATGCATTTTATTGCAAATGAACTGAGAAATATGGCTAAGCAGTGTAGTCTTTGAAAATATGATAAATGATAAGCCACTATTTTATTAAAAGGAACACAGGAAGAATGAGAACTGAAGATTCTTGAAAAATTGTTTTGTTTAATGAACATTTTGTACAGTTGATTCATATGAGTAATGTGCCTAATGGCTAAAATATCTAATTGCAGAAATACATAATAAAAATTACAAAGCAGAGTGAGTCAAAAGGTAGCATCTTCCTGAAAAACAAAAGCTGGAAGTCTTAATCCATTGATAGAATACAGATAATCCTCTCTTAATTGGGATTGGCAACTCCGTTGCTCAGCAACAGTCACGAACCCATGTTGTCATGTGACCACACTGACTTACGATCGTAGTTGTGGCAGTTCCAGTTGCCATTGTTAAGTGAATCCTGTGTGTATTCCATGTTCATGTAGTGGCCATTTGCAACTCCTGCTGCCTTGTCCATTGACTTTGTTTGTCAAAGCCAGCACTGAAGGCTGCAAATGACTGCAGTTCACTGTAGCCATTGTAACTGTGAGCTACTTGCAAAATGCCTGAGTTGCAGGAGATTGCAGGGACACCGTAATGGCTGGAAATATGAGGACTGGTCATAAATTTCCTCATTTGGTGCTTTTGTAACTTTGAATGGTTACTGAATAAGTGATCGCTGAACGAGGGCTGTCTGCATGAACAACTACATCACCGATTTGGATGAGGGGATAGAAGGGGGAACTCATCAGATTTTCAGACGAAAGCAAGCTGACAGGAATAGCCAACAGCCCAGAAGACAGGCCCAAGATCCAGATGGATCTCAACATACTTGAACGGTCGGCCCTATCCAACAAAGTGAAATTCAGGTAGAGAAAAGTAAGGTTCTATATTTAGGCCAGAAAAACCAAATGGACAGATATAGTATAGGACAGGGGGTACCTGGCTCAATAGTAGTTAATTATGAGGGGGATCTTGGAGTCCTAGTGCACCATCACTTAAGTATGAGCCAGCAGTGTGGGGCGGCTGCCAAAAAAACTAACACAGTCCTAGGCTGCATTATCAGAGAATAGAATCAAGAGCACGTGAAGTGTTAGTATCATTTTATAAATGCCTTGATAAGAGCACACTGGGAATATTCCATCCGCTTTTGATTGCCACAATATAAAAAAAATGTTGAGATTCTGGAAAGAGTGCAGAGAAGAGCAACAAAGATGATTAGGGGGCTGGAGGCTAAAATACACAAATAATGGTTGCAGGAATTGGGTATCTCTAGTTTAATAAAAAGAAGGACTGGGGGTGATAATGATAGCAGTGTTCCAGTATCTAAAAGGCTGCCACAAACGAGAGGGTAGGGGTCAACCTATTTTCCAAAACACCTGAAGGCAGGACAAGAAGCAATGATTGAATCTAATCAGAGAGAGAAAGCAACCTAGAACTAAGGAGAAATTTCCTGACAGAACAATTAACCAGTGGAATGACTTCCTCCAGAAATTGTGGATGGTCCAACACTGGAAATTTTTAAGAAGAGATTGGACAACCATTTGTCTGAAATGATATAGGGTCTCCTGCCTGAGCAGGGGGTTGAACTAAAAGACCTCCAAGGTTACTTTCAATTCTGTTATTCTGTTTAGGTACCTGCTAATCTCTCTTCCCAAGGTAGTTAATATGCAGTAGCTAAAAAAGCCTATGCAGGACTGCATTACCAGAAACACTGAAGCATTTTCTCAGGACTGTAAGAAGTAATTGTAGTTTGCACTGGTTAGCCCATACTTGGGAATTCTGTATATAGATCATGTGGTATCAACCTGCACCGAAAAGAGGTGGGGCTTTCCCCATTCTTCTCTTCTCAACCCCATCTAGCTTTTCATGAACTTGATAGCCTACTATAAGCAGCCTGATGATCTTCTGTCTGACCTCACAAAGTGAGTGAGAATATCTGCAGATCTTGTTTCATGCTAACCTACGGGTATTTTGATTCAGGCCTTACTGACCTTTCCATACAGCATGCATAGGGTCAGATACTAATTAAGATATGGCCATAGTTGCATGGTGGATACAAACTGCTGAGCTTCTCTTCATTGGGCTTAGCATGGACATTGAACTTCCCCAGGAAAAGAGGCTGGGTTACACCACAGTGACTTCTTGAGATCATTCCAGATAGACAGCTTAAGAAGGTCTATTGCTAGAGAGCAGGGGCCATTTTGAGCCCCAGTGTTTTGCTTCGTCCTGGTCTCACCCGCCATAGCAATCGGGCTGAAGACGCACATTCCACATTGACAGAATTTTGGATGGCGCATTGAGGCTCTTTCTCCACTTCCCCGTTGAACCACAGAGAAACCTGGCAGATAGAGGTGAGAGGCATTAATTCCCTCTGGTTCCCCCTCCATGTTACCTGCCAAGTTACCATTTTCATTCAGGATTAAGTCTTGGATGAGAAGCTATTTTACCAGCAACTCCGGCTGACATGCCTTGTAGAATAGAGAAGTCATTTTTCCTATCACCATCATTTCTTTTGTCAGACTGAAAATTGATAAAAGGTGAGACTTCTCACCTTTTATCCACTCTGCTCCATTTCTACTAGTAATCTTCTCAAGAATTGCTCCCAGAGTGTTTCCCGTTCCTTTTTTCCTGTGATACATTCTTCCAAATAACCAGCTGCACTTGAAATAGATGCACACACTTTCAGAACCGCCTGCTGTCATATGCATATACTCTCTCATACATACATAAAGTGGGCACCCTTGGTTTTTGGACTCTCCAGAAGATGGCAGCCTGATCTCCAGGGGTATCAGAAGTCTTGAATCAACCATGATGGGGTAACAAGGAAAAGAAAATCTCATTCAGGTAAGGAGGCCAGGTGTTGGCATTGGTCAACCTAGGACCCCAAAAGCTAGGCTATCTGAGAGAAAAGCGTTTTGGAGATGGATCCAGGTGGACAAATGACAACTTTTCCTCTCATCAAGTCTCCTCCCAGAAGATAGCAACCTTAGAAACTCTATTCCGTACTCTTGAGCAGCTAGCTTAAGGCTCATTGTTACATCTGCAAACAAATTGCTATCAAATCCTCCTGCAAATAGGCATTTGTATCATAGAATGTGCCAAGACTTCCTTATTTTGAGAAATAATGTTATTATACTGAAGTTATCTGTGTCTCCACTTCTTAAATGGACTTCGCATTTGATGGACTAGATCAGGGCTTTTCAACCTTTTCACCCATTGTACCACTTTTAGGATATGGCAATATCCAAGTAACACCAGTCGCCTAGCAAGGTGTCAAAAACTTGATGACCCCCCCCCCAAAAAAGGAAAAAAGTGATAAAGTACAGGTAGTCCTCGACTTACAACAGTTCGCTTAATGACTGTTCGAAGTTACAGTGGCACTGAAAAAAGTGCCCCCCAAGCCACAGCTGAGCGAGACACCTGCCTGCCCGCCCGGCCACGCTCTTCCTCCTGTCCGAGGTTTTCATTGTTGTGAGCATTTCTGTTGGGGATTGGCAGTGGAGGTGGGGTGGGGGGTGTTTGGTTTTTATTCCACCCATCTGCTGGGTGGTTGCAGCAGGTTTTGGTCACTTCACATGATCCTGTGACACTGTGACCGTCATAAATATGAATCAGTTGCCAAGCATCTGAATGTAAATCATAAGACCCTGGAGATGCTGCAACATTCCAGCTGATCGGCGCTTCTTCTGGGCTCAGCAGAAGCACCAGAATCAACGCCAAGCTCCAGTTGTAGCCTGGCGCTGATCCTGGTGCTTCCACTGAGCCCTGACAGCCCTGCAGCTCCAGCCGTCTCTCACTCAGGCTTGTGCGGTGCTGCCACCGGTTCAGCTCATTCCCCTCCCCCGCTACCACTTTTCTAGGATAGTCGCGTACCACCTGCCAGGTGCCAATGTACTACAGGTGGTACCCGTACCACTGGTTGAAAAGCCCTGGACTAGATCACATTTTTTTTTGCTGTTGTTTTTTCCTCTGACAATTTTTTTCCTACCAACTTTTGGGTCACGTTTTGCTGTATCTTTTTCATGAATAATAAAAAATGTTTAACGCCAGCAATTAGTGAATTCATTATATGGTATGTATAAGTGTTAAGCAGGAACATGACACTTAATTTAGAATCCCCATCTCTATCTAGAATGACAACTACATAAAATTTTCTTACCCGGGTCTCTTCTTTGTCATTTTTGCTGGCTTTTTTTTCCTGCAATGGGTACAGTACAGTTGTTTAGCCATTTTACTAACCTGATGTAACCATATTGTGAGGATATTATACTGATCGTATCTGCCAATTTTTCAGAAACCGAAGAAGATGATGTTGTGAATGGACTAGCATTGAATATAAACCAGCATGAGAAAGGTTTGTGGGATCAAAACAAAGATATTTCCAGTACTTATTGTCACAGGACAGCTGCTGCTTTTTGATGTGTGTAAAATCTAGTGATTCTTTTTTTTTCATCTGGATCATGCTGTGATCTGTGATCCACCTCTTTTGGGGGTATTCTGGCAGCTTTTCAGAAGTTCTTCTCTACTGGAAACGTTGATGCTTGGGATGAAACAGGCCTGCTTTTGTTAGTAAAGAACTTTAAACTTAATCTGTTTATTGATTCTACCCAGATGTTTCTTCTGACCTTTACTGCATGCAAAGTTTAATACAGTGACTGCCTAGAAGGGTGGGAAATCAAAGGGACATGGGATATTTGATAGTGTTTTAAGATGAATTCCATGTTAAAATAATGAAAATTTGTGAATATTTGTGCCTCAGCACCACAGTTCTGCAGTATGGTGGTGCAAAATTCTGACATAGTTCAGTGTATACTAGGTGGATGAGATTTATGATTGGATGGTAGTTTCAGGTGGATCCCAAGGGGTAAAACGGAAGATCCAGAAGGAACTGAATGGATTCAGTTTTATCCACACTGAAGAGTTGAGTAATTAAGGGTGCATTGAACATATGGCAATAAGTAAGCATAATACAAAATCGACAGACTAGAAAGAAATATTATATGGGAAAATATTCAAAAGTTTTTGAATTTCAATTTTTTCAAGCTTGAAATGCCTTGTTTTAATATTATAATGGTTGGTTTAAATTTGAAATAATTGCAGTATTTCAGAGAGAGTTCCAATCCTGTTTTAACAATTCCGGAAGCGTTCCACACTTGATAGAATACTTTTGATGAGATCAGAATAGCATTTTTGAACTCAAAAAGTTCAGATCTTAAACAAGAGGTATCTGATAAGTTCATTTCTGTGCTGAAGTGCTAAAATAAAGATGCAAGTTTACTACTTTGATGAGGGAAGCACTGTCATATTCATCCATTTAAGGAGTTCATTTGTTAAGCATTACAGAGAGGTTGAAGAATGGGAAGACGTACAATCGTAACTGACTCATATTAGTTGTTCTAAAGTGCAGTACAAGTATTTAATTTCTAGGCATTCTTGCTTTACTTCCCACTTTCTTAGTTTCATTGTTTTGATTTGGAAATTTGATTCTTGAACTGTTGGGCTATAACTGAGGAGTCCCATATTCAAATCCTCACACAGTTAAGGTGTGTGCTTCTTGATGTTGGGTGATTACTAAGCCTCAGTCTAGCATGTCTCATAAGATTGTTATAAGGATAAGATGGAGTGGGATAGAATGATATTGGAAGAACAGCCAGCTTGAAAGAAAAGCAGAATACAAACCTGCAAAGGTGCTACAGTAATCTAGTTATACGTATACAAACCTAAGCATGGAATGAGAAATAAATTAAGCAGGATCGTGAATAAATCAGTTTGCTTTAAAGTAATAATGAAATAACAATCATGTATATATCACGATTTTAAATTACTTTCAGGTCTCAATATTCCAACATTTTCCCCCCTGTAGATCAGGAGTCCAGCAAAATCTGTACTGGAAAAGGAGCTGTGACTCTTTGGGCATCTGCAGCTTCTGAGAAGAGTCTCGGGGTTAGCCATCCAAAGTCTACACAAGACATCCAACACACCAAAAGTAAGACCCAGTCTGGGAAATCATATCACAGAAAAACAAAATAATTCATTGATCCTCTGATCCTTGATTGGGTTAACAGACAAGTCCCTGGTTTAAAAAGTATAATCCCAAAATGAAGCACATAGATTGTTAACTGAAATTGCATGCTGAGATTGGATCAATTGATGTTTAGGTGAGTTTCAAGGATTGATTAGAGAATATAATTGCAAATAAGCAAACATTTCAAAGACGCAGTGCAAATTTCAGTGAAATAAAGAATGAATCAGCACTTGAATATGAGAATAAAGTCTCAGTGTGCATTTTAAGTTTATGTAAAATACTTGAATTCATTCTTTCAGGATTAGTAAATCAACTCACTTTAATGTTTTAAAAGTCAACTTACATAGAAGCTCAAGAAATTCTGTTTTTATTCTACTGATCTTTTGTGGGAAGAGGAAATATCTTCTATTTGATATCTTCTACTTGAATGGTTATGATATCTCACTACAATGGCATTTTGTTGTGTTCACTTAGAAAGATATATATATAATTATAGTAAACAAACTCTGAGCAAGAATATTTAAATGGGTACTGAGCAGGATGTGCCATTCTCTAGGATATTTTTGTTCTCATGATGACATAGAATCATCACACCGTTCCATTTCTGAGTAAGCGCTACTATGCAAAGTGTAGAAAACGAAAGTAGTGAAGAAACTGGAGGCAGATGGAAAAAGAAAATTTAATTCAGTGTAGATTACTGTGTATTAGTTCCATTCACATAACGCCTCTCCTTACTTTGCAATCTTGAAAGCTATTCTTCTTTCTTCAACATCCATACACATATTCATACTTTTTTAAAAATAGAATTTTTAGTATATAATATATAAAAAATAAAAAATTTTAAAAAAAGAAAAAAGAGAAAACATAGTTAAGATTTCTGCTCTTACTACTGTCCGTCCGTCCGTCCGTCCGTCCGTCCGTCCGTCCGTCCGTCTATCTATCTATCTATCTATCTATCTATCTATCTATCTATCTATCTATCTATCTATCTATCTATCTATCTATCTATCTATCTATCTATCTATCTATCTATCTATCTATCTATCTATCTATCTATCCTATTATTTCAATTTTATTCTTTTCCTTTCCTCTTTGACCCTTTTTAATCCCCAAATCCATAAATCATCAATTCATAGAACATAGAATAATAGGGTTGGAAGGGATGTTTTCTAGTCCAATGCCCTGCTCAAGCAAGAGACCCTATACCAGGGGTAGGCAACCTTGGCTCTTTTATGACTTGTGGACTTCAACTCCCAGAATTCCTGAGCCAGCATGGCTCAGCTTGGAAACCTCTCCATTTCTCCTCAGCATGGCTGGCTCAGGAATTCTGGGAGTTGAAGTCCACAAGTCATAAAAGAGCCAAGGTTGTCTACCCCTGCCCTATACCATTCTGGACAAATGGCTGTGCAATCTCTTCTTGAAAACCTCCAGTGATGGAGCACCTGCAATTTCCAGAGGCAAGCCATTCCACTGATTAATTGTTCTCACTGTCAATTCTAGGTTGGATCTCCCTTCCACTTGTTATTTCTTGACCTGCCCTCAGATGTTTTGGAGAATAGTCAACCCTTCTTCTCTATGACAGCCCCTTAAGTACTGGAAGACTGCTATCAGACTACACATAAAGTCCTGCCTCAGCTATCTTCTCAGAAAAGCATAACTCTTGAAACAAGCGTTATTACAAAAGGAACTTTTAATGAGAGGAAGTGATTGCAGAGAAGCCAGGCAGAATCTGAAGGTCCCACGTGAATCGTTAAACTAATTTACCATTGTCCAAGTCTCACCCCAGTGCCCCAGTCCGTCAGGAGCCAATCCACTGGTGTGAAGGTGTTCTGAGAACTCCAAGATGAGAAGGTGATAATAAGTTGTTGTCTGGTGCCATGACCTTGGTAACAGGTAGGAACTAGCTGGAAAGGAGTCCATCCAGATGGCCCTGAGGGCCCGGTCTCCTCTCCCTAATTCCCCCACAGATATATCAAAGTGAAAGCATTAAATTCTTCAATCCAGAAGTAACATTCCCCTCTCCCCTCAAAATGGCAGTGTTCAGACCCCTTATCAGCTTTGCTGCTTTCCTCTGTACTCTTTCTGAAGTTTGACATTTGTTTATATCATTGTGACCAGAACTGGAAGCAGTGTTCCAAGTGTGATCTCACCAGTGCAGTATAAAACAGTACTGTCACTTCATATGATCTTGAAACTATCTCTCTGTTGATGCAACCTAGGACTGCATTAGCTTTTTTGCCAACTGCAGCACACTGCTGGCTCATATTTAATGGTGGTCTAGTAGGACACTTAGATCCTTATCATAGCTGCTACTATTGAGCCAGGAAACACCTAGTCTATATCTGTGCATTTGGTTTTCCTGCCTATGTGTAAAACTTTTCTCACCACCGAACTGCATTTTGTTGTATATGGCTCAGTGTTCAAGTCTGTTAAGGTCTTCTGAATTGAGTCTATCATCTACAGCACGGGTGTCAAACTTGCCGCATCACGTTACGTGTCGCAACGTATCGCGGCTTTTTTTGCATTGCCGGAGCTGGTGTGGGTGCGGCTTCCGTATGATGTAACCGTTCCGTGGGCCGGCAGTTTGACACCCCTGATCTACAGGGTTAGCTATTGCCCCTAGCTTGCTGTCATCTAAAAATATAACCCTTCTATCCCCTCATTTACATCATTTATGAAGATGTTGGAAGAGTACTGGGTCTAAGACAGAACTTGAGGTACCCCACTGCATACTTCCCTCTATGTAGATGTAGTTCCATTGAGGACTTCCCATTGAATATGGTTGGTCAGCCACTTGTGAATCCATCTGGTGGTGGTACTGTCTATCCCATATTCTATTTTACCAAGAAATAGGCTGTGGTCTACTTTGTCAAATAATTAAGCAGTTCCACTTTCTCCCTACTTCCCCTTACCTCCTTGCCATCTTCTCTCAATAGTGGACCAATCATTTCCTTGACTTTTTTCTTGTTTTTTACATGTTGAAAGAAATGTTTCTATAATTATTTTGGGCCTTTGTTGCATGTCTTACTTAGTTCATTTTGAGCCTTAGCTTTCCTGACTTAGTCCTTGCAGATTTGGGTTATTTGCTGGTAGTGTGTTTTAGCTATATGTTCAGTGGTGAACCACCAGTATTTCATATATTCTCATGCACTCTTTATTTCCATTATCTATTACTCTTGCTACCCTTATCTTCCATGTTACTGCCTCAAGGCCCTCTTTCATAGCCCTTTCGTATTCCTCTGTTATTTGTATAGACTTACTTCTATATATCCCAAAAAAGCATGCAAATTAGCAGTGTTCATTGCCTTATCTTCAGTGTTGATGAAGGGGAGATACATACATACATTATATACATACATACATACATATACATATACGTAGATATAGATATAGGTCAGTGGTGGCGAACCTATGGCACGGGTGCCAGAGGCGGCACTCAGAACCCTCTCTGTGGGCACTCGCGCCATTGCCCCAGTCCTAGGCCTTCAGCTGGGTTTTATAAAACCTTTTCGCTTTAGGCCTCCGCCGCCGTGTGCAAAAAAAAAAAAAGGTTCAATCAATCAATCAATTTTAACTTCTTGCGGGGAAAAAAAGATCTTGCAAAGTTGGAATTGATTGATTGAACTTTTTAATCCCACCCAGTCTGCCATTACCACCGCAGCCACGCCCACCCAATGGGCCACACCTACCCAATTGGCCACACCCAGCCAATGGGCCACACCCACCCGGCACCCGACGATGCATAAGTGGGTTTTGGGTTGCACTTTGGGCACTCGGTCTCTAAAAGGTTCGCCATCACTGATATAGGTATAGATATATAGCATTGTTACATCTGTCATGACTCCACAGCTGAATCAATAAGCCATATTTTTCATCACTGCTCCCTTTATCACACTGGTAAGCAAAATTCATAACCCTTTCTTACCCTTTAGGTAGACTGATTGGAAAGTTCTTTGCTTGCTGATTTCTCCACTGGTAGTATTTTTGCTAAATTTATTTATTTATTTATTTATTAATTACATTTATATCCCGCCCTTCTCCTTGCGGACTCAGGGCGGCTAACAATTGGATAAAATACAGACATATAATACACCTATTAAAACTGATTAAAAAGAAATATTTAAACCTGATCAGATTAAAAGTGATTAAAACCCCTTTAAAATCCCTTAGGCCAGTCCCGCAAGCTGGAACAACCACGTCTTGAGGGCGCGGCGGAAGGAAGGGAGATCAGGGATCACCCTGATCTCTGGGGGCAGTTCGTTCCAGAGGGTGGGAGCTCCCCCAGAGAAGGCCCTCCCCCTTGGGGTCGCCAACCGGCACTGTCTGGCTGACGGCACCCTGAGGAGACCCACTCTGTGGGAGCGTACAGGTCGGTGGGGGGTAATCTGTGGCAGGAGGCGGTCTCGAAGATAGCCAGGTCCGATGCCATGGAGCGCTTTAAAGATAATAGTCAGCACCTTGAAGCGCACCCGGAAGGCCACCGGCAGCCAATGCAGCTCGCGCAAAAGCGGCNCCAACACCGCCCGCGCGGCCGCATTTTGAACTAGCTGGAGCCTCCGGGTGCTCCTCAAGGGGAGCCCCATGTAGAGAGCATTGCAGTAGTCCAGGCGGGAAGTGACAAGGGCATGAGTGACCGTGCGTAAGGCGTCCCGGTCCAGAAACGGCCGCAACTGGTGAATCAGGCGAACCTGATAAAACGCTCCCCTGGTCATTGCCATTGATATTAGAAGATTGTGAGCACTGAAATTCGATATGTTTATTTCTTTTATCTTTTATCTATATTTATAGAGAAATAGTAGAATATTATCAATTTCCTTCTGTAATCTTCTCCATGGGAAGTTTTTTGGTCTCTAATCATGAATTAAAAATGTTAAAGTCATACTCCCTCTCCTCTTGTGATGCCTTCTCATATTTAGCAGTAGCCCTAGCAAGTCTGCTTGACCCTGCCAACTACAACATAGCTGCTGGGGACGATAACATGCTATAGCAGCCACTGCCCATCCTGTAATCATTATTCACCTTAGGCATGTTGTAATGTAGGAAATGGCACTGATACACACAGTGTACTGTTAAAGTACTTAGCCATCTGTTTTAGTTATAGTAAAGGTAATAAAGAACATGTGTGGACTTCAGCTTACAGAATGCTATGCATGCATGTGCATTTGTAAAATGGGAATGGAATTTTATGCATGGAAATGTAATTTATTTTATTCATACATGAAAGGGGAAATGAAACTTTATTCATGCACAAAAATGTATAGAGTATGGACAGATCTTTGCCTGTTATGACCAAAGTCTGCTAAACTCTTCTGTTGTAACTCTACAGCTGAATCAGTAGGCCACATTTTTCTTTAGTGCCCCCTTTATCACACAATTCTGTTAAATCATTAATTATATGCAGAGCTGGACAGACAGCGGCCAGATGCTAAACTGGAAAAAGATTTGGCTTGATCATGGACTTGCACATGCTCTTTACATATGATAGTATCTCAACTAATCCAGGGACATTTATATTACCCTCACAAGAATCCTGTGCAGATTTCTCTCTCCTTTCCTCTCTCCTTCTTATTTAATGCTTCTTTCAAATTCCATTTCCAACTTCCTTAGGGAGGAAAGCCTCATCTCTGCCTCATAACCCAAATTGTACTCTTTATGTCCTGCCCCCACCAGCAGCAACATTGCCATTTACTGATGGCTGCCATTGACAAATGACTGGAAAAAGTCTTTATAAGGTTTAAAGTGAGGGAAAATAGAAATGAAAATGGTTTGATCTAAGACCTACAGACTAATTTGACTCTACAGTATATTTAGTTTAGCTACATTTTTTTAACCAATCAGTTTATCTTCTAAAACAGGCATGTCAAACTGCCGGCCCATGGGCCAGATGCATCATGCTGAAACCGTGCCCACCTCATTGCTGGCAATGGGGAAAAAGTCACGATACGTCGCGTGACGTTGCGTGACGTCGTGAGTTTGACATGCCTGTTCTAAAATGTACATTTTCATCCTTGCCCCTTAATGGTTTGGAATAATTTATCTTAAGGAAGCGATTATTGGGCAAGAGAACGATAGTTAATAATAAATAAAACATAGTATAGTAAATAAATAATAATTGTGTACTAATAGGTGCTGCCTTTATGCTAAAGTTTTCACAACGTTCTAAACTTTTTGGAATAATCCGGTTAATATTGGGGGAATGAAGAAGGTCTGTTTATTTAAGCTACTTACTACTTATTTAAATAGTAAATTATTACTATTTATGCTCTGCTCTCTTATTCTCTCTATGTGTCCTTTCGGCCTTTGATTATTTTTGAGGGCATGACATAAAATTAATTGTTGGTCCAGAAAAGTTGATCATGCCTGATTTTCAGGGTTTTTTTTTACTATACAGCTTCTTTCATGCTGCTGCTATTTGGCCTTCTTTCCCACGCTCTTTCTATACATTTCCAGCAAACCCCAAAGGAATGGTTCCTACCATGGAAATGAGCTTCTTGTGCTGATTCTCTTAGTTGTGTTTTGAAAAGTGTGTTGCTGAGCTAGGGAGATTATTTTTCTCATGTTTTGTGAAGGATGGGAAAGATAAGTGGTGCCAAAATCAAACATAGAAAAATGTCAGAAGGAGGGTTTTTTTGTTTTTGTTTTTTTTTAAAAAAAGGCATAAACTTGCCTGGAATCTAGTTAAGAAATCTGCAATGCCATGATAATATTTCTAGCCCCCGAAAGGAGAGTTTTGGATTTGACTGTTACGATTTCAGAGCAGTATATAATAATAATTTTTATTTTGCGGTCACAGACCAAAATGCAAGTGCAACAAAAGAAAACACAAGAAAAATATATCACAAACAATTAAACACCAGAAGCCTTGGCTAAAGGGAATTACAACGTTCTCCTCTGGTAGTTACAGCTATTAAAAGAAATTTAGAAACCTGAGAAGTAATATAGGAGGAGCCATCCCCTAGACCAGGGGTAGGCAACCTTGGCTCTTTTATGACTCGTGGACTTCAACTCCCAGAATTCCTGAGCCAGCATGGCTCAGCTTGGAAACCTCTCCCTTTCCCCTCAGCATGGCTGGCTCAGGAATTCTGGGAGTTGAAGTCCACAAGTCATAAAAGAGCCAAGGTTGCCTACCCCTGCCCTAGACAATATAAAACCAAATTACTAACATTAGAACCAGAGGGATCAATTCCAAGGAGAGACAATAATTTAATTCATCCTGTGTTATACATAGGGCAGTATGATAAGACATGCTCCACAGTTTCAACTTCGGCCCTATCACAGGGGCATAGTCGCTCACTAAACAGGAGCCTCTTAAATCGCCCATCGAGTAGTGTTGAGGGCAAGACATTGAAATGGGCCAGGGAAAAAACTCTTCTATACTTGGTTAGAGTATAGAAATATGAAGCCATCCTCAATCCATAATTATTAGAATGGCTGAAGATCAAAGGGGAGCAGGTTTTATTGGCTCTGGCTCTTAAATATTGCAAATCTATGTCCACAAGCCATTGGACTACCCTAAACTGGGCGTCCTTGAGACCATAATCTCCCAGAGCATCCCCCGTAAAACCTAGCAGAGCAGTATAAATAAGGCAAGCATTGAAAGTGTTAACACTACTTGGTGTTCTTGCTGGTCTCCACAAAGATAGCATGTGATATATCGGTGCTTTTAAAGGCACTTGCTGGTTTGTAAGCCTCAATCCTCTTTTCTGGCAAGGCTAAAGAAGGGCAGGCACATTTTCCGCTCTCGGCCTGCATCATAGGTTAAATATTGAAATCTTCCATTTGAAATAATGTGTGGCATTTGAAAGTCTCCCTGAGAACTCTGGCTGCCTTTTTGTGTGCTAGAATGAAATGTCAGTGAACAATTGTTTCTTCACTGCTCTGAACTATGGCTTTGTGTTTGTAAAGGTCAGGCGTTGTAAGGAGTCATGTTTCTATGGGAATTAGGCAGCCTTGCTGGAAAGTGTTCCGGGGACAAAATGAAGTAGTCCGTTTCTCTGCTCTTCTCTCATGTATTAAAATACGATGTCTCTTCCCTTCTCTTATTCCCTCTGATGCTTGTCACCAGCTCATTCAACTGAACAGAAAGGAGAAACCAACACAGGTAATTATTAAAGCTTCAGTTTGTTTTTTTTTACTATTTCCTCAAAACATCGGTTGTTTGTGCAAGCATAAATCTTCATCGTTAAGTATTGTTTAAATGATCCGAAAGTCTTCATTTTGTAGATGGTTGGAGAGGACTGTCTGGCGTTGACTCAAATAGGGAGATTCTGTCTGTGAAGGATTACTGGAGCGTGAGACCAAACTTCTTTGAGATCAAGCCACAAGTAAGTAGCTAACTGAAAGCCTAGATGGGTATGAAAAAGGCATGTGTCTTAGATGTGTCTCTGACTTGTAATTTGAGTAATTTGTATTTACACCCAAGGAGTATTACTTTGTCAAGCTGGTATTTTAAAAAGTGAATTGGTTGGTTTGTTTTCATGATTTAGTGTTTCCAAAATGTTGTCAGTCAGATGCATCAGGAAATCCTTCTGTACTTGGTCCAGTGTATTCTAGGATCCCCTGGAATACAGAAAAGAATAAACTTGGTTATGATTTGTATAATTTCCAAAATACGCCTCTTGAGAATCATAATCTTAATCATCATCATAACATGTACAGTAGGAGGGCTGTGTCCATCCTCTGTCTTTCCTCTTTTCTCTCCCAGTTGTTAATCTTCTTGTAGTCTAATTACACTGTTACTGTGATCAGGTCTAGATAGTTTGCATCTAAATCTGAGAGCTTTGATATCGGAAAAAATCATTATAGAAATAAATTCTAACAAGATTTCCTTCACTGCAATGTTAAGAAGTTGCTGATAATTCTGTGGTTCCGTGTCCAGTTTTATTTAAATATTCTTTACATTTTTTTCTTAAAGTCTAAATTTCTCTTGGCTTGTTTGGCTTTGGCAATAGAAGTATGAATTTGTTACATAGTAGTGAAAACATAGCTTGAACTGAATGTAATTTTATTTTAGATTCTTTAGGAGAAACCATAGTTTATCACATTTGGATATGAGATTCACTTTTAATCATATATATATATTGTTAAGGCATCCTTGGTGTTTCAGCTAGTTGTTATGAAAGCATATTGCACTATTTTATGGACTCATAGAATTCTAGGGTTGGAAGGAACCCTGGTGCAATCCACCTAGGGCAAGAATCCTCAGACCATCTTAGACGTCAAACTTTTGCTTGAAAACCAGGTTGGAACACCTCTGACTGCAAAGCAGAAATCCACTATTTACTGGATCTCAGGCTCATGAAATTCCCCCTTATGTCACAGATGAGTCTGAAAAACTTCTTGTTGTATCCTTGGGCACTGTAGAGATTATATCCACAACTGTTTCCCTATGATAACCTTTCAGTGTTTCCCATTCGCTTTTTTTTAAAGCACAACATACCTAGTTCCTTTAACTCAGGGGTCTTCAAACTTGGCCCTTTTATGACTGGTGGACTTCAACTCCCAGAATTCCTCAGCCAGCTTGGCTGAGGAATTCTGGGAGTTGAAGTCCACCAGTCATAAAAGGGCCAAGTTTGAAGACCCCTGCTTTAACTGTTCTTCATGGGATTTGGCCTCTAAGTCCCTTACTACCTTTCATGTTCTAGATAAGGGCCAATGTGGCAGCTGGCACAAGGTGCCATTATGTGAGGATAGAGGGTAATTTAAGTTCATCCGTTGACTGATGATGATATTTGAGTGCTATGTGAGAAGTTGTCACTTGTGTAAAATGTGCTACTTTGGAAAAAAGATTCCTCTCATGAGCAGCTCTTTCCTTGAGGTAGGGTCGTTGAATGTCCTGCACCTCTCTGTTGTTATTATCTCAAGGTATTGTCTCCCACAGGCTGCCACTTCCTCTCCCACCACCTCAGTTCAAACTGAGGTTATAACAGGGCCTTTCCAACAGATTCATCCAGGCAGAGAAGAATCCAGCCCAAGCACATCACCAGCACCTCTCCGCCATTTTGACCAAGGTTTAGAAATTTCAAACAACGTGTCTCCTGGTTTCCTTCTGGCCCTTCCAACGCTAGATGATTTCATTCCCCCTCACCTCCAGAAAACTCCCAACCACCAGCACCCATTGTTTTCACCTCAGACTGCGCTACACACTCACGCAAAACTGCCTTCACTCTCCTCACCACCTCCTCTACTGATCCCTCCCGCCACAGAAACCTCAAGCAGCATTTTGGCGACTGAAAGCACAGGAATGGTCTTTCGAACAGTAAGCCTTATTACGCCCATGCTGAGTCTACTGCTAAATAAGTATACCCTGGTTGAAATCACCTTTCACTGGCATACCAAACCTGGACTTTTGGCACTTTTTGATAGTGGCATGACATTTTGCTTCTGTTCTGTGGCATGTATATCGTTTGTCTCTTCTGGCCTCAAAACTCTTTCCTATAATATTCAATTCTGTTCTTTCCTCTTTTTTCATATTTAAAAACTCTATGCATTTAGCTGTAACCAGCATATTACAGCCAAAAATACATGATAGAAGCCTTAGATCAGAGGTAGTCAACCTTGGCTCTTTTATGACTCGTGGACTTCAATTCCCAGAATTCCTGAGTCATAAAAGAGCCACGGTTGACTACCCCTGCCTTAGATCATGAATGAGGAGCAGCTGGATTAATTGTCCGTGAGTTTTTCCCATCTCCTCAGGAGATCCTTCTGTACAGGGCATAATCTTTCTCCGTGGAAATCATAATTACATCCATATCTTTCCTTCTGCACAGAAAAAATAATTGAATCAGATCTGTTGCAAGGAGAGAAAAGAATTGTTTTCATCCAGAGATGACACAGAGAAGATTTCCCTTCCCTCTGAAGGGAGAAAAGGGTCATCCTAAATGACACAGGAGCAGAAAGGGCCTTCCTTAGATACGTTCTTGCTGGAGATATCCTGGGAAGTTATCTGGATCTTGGGCCAGGCGAGCTTTATTATTCATGGATTAGGTTAGGGGCGCAAAATTTAGGGAGGTTGCAACAAGGGCGTGAAGTGGACCCACTCAAAATGATTATGACAGAAGACCTACCTGTTCACAAAATGGCTGTCTTAGAGCCAGCCATAAAACATCCTATTTGGCTAAAAGCAACAGACCTAAGTTGCTCTCTAACATACCACTGGGATTGAGTTAATGGAAGATCTGATGTCTTAGGACAGATTGCCTTTCCTATCCTTAGAACATACTGTGCCAGGAATGTTAGGAAATATGCAATGCATTATTTGTGGAGTAGCCTTTGAAGATGGATCAGAAATATGGCCAGGGTGCAGTAGAAAGGGTGTTGACTGGATGTAGCAGCTCTGCTATATTTACAACCAATATTAAATTCTTCTTTATCCATGGTGGGGCTTCATCATGGAACAAACTGTGCTTAGTGGGCTTGAAAACCAATATTTTTATTCAAGCCTTTAAGAAATGTTTAGAAGGATTGTGTTGCTGGTTTTGAATTTCAGTTTCTCCATCCATCCGTGAATTCTAAAACCATTTGGGAATGGGCAGAATATAAATCTGTATAAATGAAACTAATACATGCAGAGCCTCATCGTGTTTAACACTCTTTGGGTTTGCATCCTCATAGTATTATTAACCCTTTTTGAGAGTAGCCGTTTATGCAATTTTTATTTATCTGCCACACCTGTTTTCTTTTGCAGGATGCATAGAGACAAACATACACATAAAATCCAACTTCCCACACCTTGCCCTTTTTGGCAGACAGGCAATGATAAGAGGTTTGAATGTCCTCTTCTCTCTGGACCAAAGTATCTCTTCCATCCACACCATATGTGGGTATGTGTGGCCTCATAATCAACTCATCCCACCTGAGCATCCCTATTAGCTGTGTTATGGTTGTGGAAGGGCCAAAGGAGCAAGCCAAGAGTGTTGAGGATTGAGGGATTGTGTCTGAGACCCACTGCATTTGAGGTGGTGCAGAGACTAAGGAATATACAGGGTCTCCATTACCTGTGAGCATCATTAAAGTACTGCTCTAGCCCTGAGAAAGAGACATTCAGTTATCTCAAAATGTGAACGGCATCAGTCAAAGGGGTAATGAGCCATTCAGCCACATCAGTCTCTTCCATAAGACTCAATATGATTCATTCAGATGAACCATTGTCTAGTTATGGATTGGAAGGAGTCTGATAGCACATTTTTCAACTCACAGATTGTAAGGGATAAGCTTTCATGAGCTGCAGCCATCAAATTGTAATGAGGTGGGGCGGGAGGGAAGAAAGGAAGACAGATGCTTATGCAGATCCAGGTTACACGCGAGACAAATAACCCTTAAGAAAGGATTGTTCCGGGTCAGCCGTGACAATAACCTTTCATTGACTGAAAATCTGATTGCAAAAGTGTCCAAGATTGAAGGGCAATATCATCTGTTAATAGTTATAGCAGCAGAAACAAGAGCATCTTCAGTCCCCATATTGGCACGGTAGACTCTAGGGTCAAGTTCAAGCTGTTGGAGTGAGGAGTGATGTGTCTGCCCATGGCTGGGCCACTGATTTGCAGGTATACTTTATTACCACAGGTGAAGTGGTTAAGGGTGAATGCAAAGTCCCACAGTCTAATGGCTAGGCATGGTGTATTGGTATTAGTGATGATGTTCTTAATGGTTTGAAGTCCATGTTTGTGGGGGATGTTGGTGTTTACTGCCTAAATATCCACGGTGACTAAAATTGTGTTATTAGGGAAATTGCCCATGGATCTCAGCCTTCTCGGGAAATCTTTTGTAGCCAAGAGTGCTAGTGATATGAGATTTGAGTACAGAGTCCCTGCAACCTGATATTCCACGTTTATGAGAGTAACATTTCTTTTGTTTTACAAGGTCTAGTTATGAGTATGACCCAGATAAGTTAGTATTGGAGGGACAACCTTACCATCAGTTGTATGTTGGCAGTATGCAGGTGGTAGGTCTTAAGACTCAGTGGCTGTGTTAGATTGGAAAAGTCCATCAGGAAGAAGTTCAGGTTAAAGACAAGGTGCTCCATCAGATCCTCATGGGTGATAAGTGTCAACATGCTACTATCTGGAGAACTGTTACTGAGGATCCTGATTGATGGGTACCTCTTATAGGTCTGTCTGTATGTCGGGGTTGGTCACCCAACCCTTGGAATGTCTCATGCTCTCATCTAAGTATGATAGGTGAACCAATCAGTAGCATCTGGCAATGCATTAAACATGCCCCAGAGAGGTTGGCATACTTGAACGTGACCTAGACCAGGGCTTTTCAACCTTTTTACCCATTGTACCACTTTTAGGATATGGCAATATCCGAGTACCACCAGTCGCCTAGCAAGGTGTCAAAAACTTGAGGACTCAAAAAAAGAAAAAAGGAAAAAAGTGATAAAGTACAGGTAGTCCTCGACTTACAACAGTTTGCTTAGTGACTGTTCGAAGTTACAATGACACTGAAATCCTGGGACACTGTGACCATCATAAATATGAATCAGTTGCCAAGCATCTGAATGTAAATCACAAGACCCTGGAGATGCTGCAACATTCCAGCTGATCGGCACTTCTTTTGGGCTCAGCAGAAGCGCCAGGATCAGCGCTGAGCTCCAGCTGGAGCCTGGCACTGATCCTGGCGCTTCCACTGAGTCCTGACAGCCCTGAAGAAGCGCCGATCAGCTGGAAAGTGGCACTGATCCTGGCGCTTCCACCCTGACAGCCCTGACAGCCCTGCAGCTCCAGCCATCTCTCTCTCAGGCTTGTGCGGTGCTGCCACCGGTTCAGCTCATTCCCCTCCCCCACTACCATTTTCCTAGGATGGTCACGTACCACCTGCCAGGTGCCAATGTACCACAGGTGGTACCCGTACCACTGGTTGAAAAGCCCTGATCTAGAGTCTACTGTGCCAATATGGGGACTGAAGCTGCTCCTGTTTCTGCTACTATAACTATTAACAGATGGTACTACCCTTCAGTCTTGGACACTTTTACAATCAGATTTTCAGTCAATAAAAGGTTTTTGCCACTGTGAATGATGCTTCCCTTCATCCTTCAGTCACAGAGACAGGCAAGCAAGGTTGAAGCACAAACATAGCACATTCGAACTACAGTGAGGTGGGGTGGGATCTCAAATTCAGGGATCCAGATGGATCCTTGCCAGTAAGAGGATCAGCCTCCAGTCATAGGTTCTTTCAGTTTTCCCTCTCATGGTCTCTTCTTAGAAACAGAGTCCAGTCCAGAATAGCAGTTAACTTAGCTGTGTTCTCGCACAGCCACTCTGCCAGTCCCCCAATGTTCTGTCTCGTGGAATCACTTCACTGAATTTTGGATAGTAGCAGCTGCTGAACTGGTCAAGGTGTAGATAATTTATTTTGGGAGCACCAGCAAAATACAAGTCAACAATTACGGATTATCTGTGCAGAATCCTTTAAGCCTTCAGTCTCAGCTTGGAAAAACATTTCCAGATATTTTGGGTTTCAAGCTTCAGAATGACTACATGGGCTTAGACTGTTTGATGCCTGAAGCAGTAAGTGTATTTCTATTACCACAAATGAAGAGATTCTGCCACTGGTTGTGGCTGACCAGGTTTTTATCAGTCTCCAAACTGGAATGTCTTTGTCCTGACTGACTCTACATTCTTCCTCCCTCGCATAGTCCTGGTTTTACTAACATCCTGCTGGCTAATTGCTTGCAAATAGTATTGCCAATCTTCTTTCTAAAATAGAGAGAGCTCATCAAGCATGAGGCTAGCATGTGCAAAAAACAACCACTCCTGCCAGTAACTCTGTGTATTTACTTTCTCTTTTCTGGCCCAGAATGTAATTACTCATCCTTTTTTCTGTATGTGCACCAAGAAAGATGTTGTGTGAAAGCAACTTCTTGTGCTGGTGGGTTATGTTAAACTGTTCCATTTGCTTGTTGTTGTTTTTTTCATTGCCAAAACGGTCCTCAACAATCTTATGCGGTAATGATCTTCACACTTGTGTGTTTCAGGATACCTGCCCCCAGCCACATGAAGCCTCTAAGCCCAGTGGCGGCCCTGCTGTCTCAATGACGATCAACAGATCTTTGGGTGCTTACCCTTCCACCACAATTGTCAACCCTACAATTGTCCTTCTGCAGCACAACAGAGGTAAAATGAAAGCCCCTCTTTTTCCTGGTTCATATTTTGCTAGAAATATTATTCGGTGACGGGGACGCCGTCGTGAAATGGAAGACACGCCAAACTTCCCAGAATAGGGACATTTCCTAAGGGACAAAGAAAATCACAAAGTAAAGGACAAAAAAAGTGCCCAAAGTATCTAGCTAATATAATGCTATTCAAAATACCAAACAAAACAAACAAAAGGCAGTCAAAATCTTTGTATGTCTGAAGTAAACTTTATTGTGTAATAAGCCAAATGAGGTTCAACATAGTTCACATCAGTAGCCTTTTATAATGCAACTGTGAAAAAATAAAACTTTTTAAAAGGTTTGAGGGGAAACCCCCCCCCCCAGAAATTGATAACTTGTTTTCTGAGATTGAGGTACAGTTATATTAGCTTACATCTCACTTGACTTCCATTGTACATTCTGCCATATTTATTTATTTACATCCCATCTTTATTATTTTTATAAATAACTCAAGGTGGCAAACATACCTAATACTATTTCCTCCTTCTGTTTTCCACACAACTACTATCCTGTGAGGTGGGTTGGGCTGAAAAAAAGTGACTGGCCTAAAATCACTGTCTCTTTCATGACTAAGGCAGCAGTAGAATTTAGAGCAGGGTGCCTGGCTGAGGAATTCTGGGAGTTGAAGTCCACAAGTCATAAAGGGCCAAGTTTGAAGACTCCTGATTTAGAGTCTTCTGGTTTCTAGCCTGGAGCTTTAAGCTCTAGAGCAAATTTTCTTTTTCTGTTTATAATTGTTCTTATGTGCTGTTGTGCAGCAGATGTTTTGTTTCTTACTGCACAGTGAAAGATTTCTAACCAGTTGATGAGAAATGTATATTTATAGTCATAGGAAGAAGACATAAGAGATGACGGAATCGGTGGATTGCCTTTAGGTTTCTGGGTCCATAGGCTGAAAAGTGCCTTCCTGTTTTAATGTTTAGAGACCAGGCTATATTTAAAACTCTGAAACTGACATAATACTGTATAAGATGTAGAAGATTTTGTTGTAATTATAGAGAAGTGAATGTGATTTGTTTAGTGAGAATGAGACTTCCAATAGTTGTTTTGTGCTGGCCTACACTTGAGGAAAGTTTAGGAATCATAAGACAGATGTCTCTGCTAATTTAACAGCAAGTTTATCTCCAGGTCTTTTCCTGTCTCTGTCCAGGACACAACTTCTGCATTCTGTTTTTTGAAAGGGCAATTAACTTTGGGGTTCTATTTTTTTTACCTTTTTTGTCCATTCCCTGCATCTATTCCTTTTATCTTTTTTTTTTTCAGTTACTTTTCGTCTTGCCTTTACTCTGGCTTCTAAAGATCTTATAAACTGGGAAGGGAAAGGAAAGAAATAATTTGTGCATGTGCATGTTTGAAAGGCACAGCACTCACTGTGATCTTACAGAATATTCCGTTTTTTACATCAACATCTTCCGTGAAGCCCATTCAATTAATTCTGGCTATCGCGAAGATAGTAAAATGCTTAATTCCATTGCAGGACTCGGAAGATGGAATCTGCCTGCTAAAATGAGTAGGAGGAATCAGCTAGGATAAATTTCAGCCCATGTCTATAACTTGATACCTTTTTCTCATGATTAAGTGTGGCATTATTTTTAGAGGAAGAAGTAGGCTGCTCATTTACATTTGTTCTGTGCAGCCTGAACAAACAGCTGGGCTGTGGTCCTCCCCAAAAATCATGTGATGATCATGATGTGAAAGACATCATAACTATAAAGAAATGTGAAAATCTTCCTTTAACTTCTTTCCACCTACCACTCCTTAGGTACAGGGGAAATGGAAGGTAAAAACCTTATGTGAGCCTAATGTAAATAGTCTAAAACTACTTTCATTCATTCCTCTGAAGAATGTTATGCTGCTTCTCTCAATCCAGGCACCGTATTATTTGGCAGGCCTCCATCTCTAACAAAACAAAACAAAAACAAACCATTATTAGTCATCTGACTTCATTCAGAAAGTGAATTAGAGAGGTTGTCTTCTGCTCCAGGCTATCCACAGGAAGTCCTCCAGTTATGCCCATTTGTTCAGCAACCATTGGAAGTTAACGACGGTGCTGAACGCAGGATTTATGACCCGTCCTTGAAGTTCCAGCCATTGCAACGTCTCTGTGATCACATGATCATCATTTGTGATCTTCCCAGCCAGCTTCCCATAAACCAGGGGTAGGCAACCTTGGCTCTTTTATGACTCGTGGACTTCAACTCCCAGAAATCCTGAGCCAGCCACGCTGAGGGGAAAGGGAGAGGTTTCCAAGCTGAGCCATGCTGGCTCAGGAATTCTGGGAGTTGAAGTTCACGAGTCATAAAGCGGCCTAGGCCTTGGCTCTTTTATGACTCGTGGACTTCAACTCCCAGAATTCCTGAGCCAGCCATGCTGAGGGGAAAGGGAGAGGTTTTCCAAGCCGAGCCATGCTGGCTCAGGAATTCTGGGAGTTGAAGTCCACGAGTCATAAAAGAGCCAAGGTTGCCTACCCCTTCCATAAACAAAGCCAGTGGGAAGCCAGCAGGGAAGATTGCAAGTCATTTAGTAAGTCTCCTTCTGCCCCCTGGCCTTTCTTTGCTTGCACACACATACCCCATGCCCTCTTTCCCTGGCCTCTCTGCACTCTGTTTTCCCCACCTTTCTTGAGCTCACTCCCATCCTGTGCCCTCATTTCCTAGCCTCCCTGAACTTGTGCCACACTGCACAAGTTAGGCCTCCCAGGACCTCCTCCACCCCTGTGCAATACCTTACCTGTGACCAGTGGTTTTTTTTGCAAGAAAAAAGGTGCCAGAACTCCCATCTTCTTAATCTTTTATTTAAAAAAATTATATATTCAGTTCTTAACACAAATTTAATTTATTGTATTTAAGGCAAATGTCCGTCGTAAATTTTACACTACAAATTAAAAAAATATTTTAAATTCACTGATTTTTTTAAAATAAATTGTTTACCTTTCTCACGTAGTCAATCACTGTACACACTCACCCACACACATCAGTTGTGTAACGAAATATAATGGTCATTGCCCACAGTAAGCACTCAGCACACGACTACACAACCAATCACAAGCCGAGCAGTGTCACAAGCTGAGCAGCGCCATCACAACCAGCGCGGACAAAGTACACATACATCGGACTCGACACACAAGCAGCCCGCATGCACCATTTTATGATTTTGCTGTCGATCTGCTACGCTCGACAGGGCGATTCAAGTCCACGTGAACCAAACATCAAATTTTCAAAAGTTACTTTTAAAACTTGGAAAATCCATCGAAAAAAGGCGCCGGAACTCTGTTCCGGTGCGTTCTATAACAAAAAAAGCACTGCCTGTGACTGTCATGGTTCCGATTAACGAAACAGTTCAAAGAACTTCCAGGCATTGGATGTTCTTGCTTTGACAGTGACTTCCTCACTTCCTGCTTAGCAACCCTGCATCCTGGGTTACGACAATAACTGGGACTGGATTGCTTTTGGTCATGTGACATTGCATTTTACAACTGCATCACTCGGTGATGGGAATCCCAGTCCCAATTGCTTCTGTAACTGGAGGACCAACTGTTATGTTCAAGAGCATTCAGCTGTTCAAAGATAATATAAACTCTTAAAATAAGGCCTTGTTTTTCAACCTAAGCTTTCATAAGCTGCCTGATGGTCTATTTATGATAGCTTTCTTTACTTGTGGAGTATCGGAGATGGTTAGAACTTGTCCCTTTGTGATTTCATGAAGTTCTATGAGAAAGACTTTGCTGTCTGGTCTTCAGATTTAAAGTTCTGCAGAGGGTAGTTCTCAGGCTTCTTTGCTGTAATCTTTCTTCATTTAGAGAATAATGATTGAAGATGTCGACTCTTATGGGCTGGTTATGTTTGGATCTGGTATTGCTGACCCTTTGGATCTTAACAAAAGTTTGGTTATAGATCACAAGGATTTTTTTGGAGCTGTTGTGAATGCAATATCCATTTTGTGATACTGTCGCACACTTACCAAAGAATATACCAGTGGTGGCGAACCTATGGCACGCATGCCAGAGACGGCACTCAGAGCCCTCTCTGTGGGCACGCACGCTGTCGCCCCAGCCCCGCCACCCCCCGTGGCCCCCTTCTCACCAGCAGCCCCCCCCTGAGGAGAGTCACCCCGGGTGCAGCCTGCACAGAGTAGCGCAGCCAAGGACATGGCAGCCGGGCAGCAGGGACAAGACTCCGCCCTCGCGCCCCCTCGTGTGCGCGGACAGAGGCCATGGCCGCCATGATGCTGCTGGGCTGCCTGGGCAATCTGCTGTGGTGGGCTGTGGAGGCGGTGGGTGACCCTTCGGGTAGGAGAGGCGGGGGTGGGGCAGGGGCGAGGCGGTTTTTGGGCACTCGGTCTCTAAAAGGTTCATCATCACTGGAATATACCAAACATTTATCAGCATTACTTTTGGTCTGGTGAATACAGATATAAACTGGCTTGCAAATAAATCAGGATTAATCAGTAAATTGGGATTGATCAGTAAAAGTAGGGAAGAATCTTGAGACCAGATTCTATTCTGAAGAATCACAAATAGCTTCCACCTCAATAAACCAGAATAAATATTTGTCATCGTTCATACTAAATGTTACAGTTTGAATCTTGCATCTCACTTAATTCAATAAAGGTGCAGCTATATGTTGCTCTGTATGTGCACCATATAGAATTCTTCTTGAATAAAACATATAAGGGGACCTTGTAAGGCAAGACATCCTCACTCAGACTTAGTCTCCATTTGATTTGATTTGATTTGATTTTATTAGATTTCTACCCCGCCCTTCTCCTTGCGGACTCAGGGCGGCTTACAGCCCGTTAAAAACAAGTAAACAAATACAAAAAACATACCACATTTTAAAATCAATTAAAATAAAATATTGCAATAGGCCAATTAGTATCCTTTAAAACCAATAGAAAACTAATTAAAAGTAATACTTAGGCCAGTCCTGCCTGCTTAAAAAGCCACGTCTTGAGGGCGCGGCGGAAGGAGGGGAGATCCGGAATCACCCGGATCTCTGGGGGGAGTTCATTCCAAAGGGTTCATTCCAAGCCCCATTAGTGTGTGTGGACTGTTTTGTGCTGTCCCAATGTTTTGAGTTTCAGTGCCCATATTGCTGGTAGCAAGTTAGTATTGTAGCTTCCAGCAAGGAAGCTATGAAGCACTTGGAAAGTTCTTAGGGATTTTTAGCCTTCTGAATTTGTGAAAAAAAAAACACGTATGTATGCCAATTTGTTTGAATCGAATATATAAACATGTTACTCATGCATTACATATGGAACTCTTGCTCAGCACTTTTATTTGAAGGGCAAGGGGTTAAAATTGTTGGTTTTGATGAAATGCCAATAGGGGTGGGGTATTCAAGCTCTTGAGATTTTGTTCAACAGATTGTGTGAAAGTCTTATTAAGAGTTGAGGGCAACCATGGTTTCAACAATTTATTTGTCTTTTCCTCTCCTCTCTTTCCCACAGCAGAGCAGCAAAAAAGGCTTAATAGCCTTGCAGGTATGATGCCCCAAATATTGTTATGCTATTTCTAGCTATTGATGCTTCTGCTGCTGTATTCAGTCAAGTGCTTTTTATCTAATAGAGTATCATTAGTGAATCCGTAAAGGAAAAAACTGCAATTCAGGGGTAGAGGAATTGTACTTTGTTCGGTGACTGTGACATATTTACGCTACTTTTCTCCAGAATTCCACAAGGCAATCTTGGAAAAAGAAGACACTGGGCCCATCGTTTAAAAAGAGCTTGAAATATCCCCCATATATCCAAGCCACAGATCATGAAATATCAGCAAAGTATTTGTACCTAATGTACCTCTTAGTTTGTACCTAATGATTATATGGATTTTTGCGGCCTAGTTCTGATAGTCCAGCCCCAGTTTTGCCAGAATGACTAGTCTGATACTTTTCTGTATTAGCATCCAACATTTTCAAATCATCAAGAATTTAATATTAAGATCACATTCAAAAGTGGGTGGGATCAATCTTTATTGATTTAAAATGTTAGTTGTTATTGAAGGGAACTAGTCCAGAAAAATACATAAAAATATGTTAAAACATTCAGATAATTATCCAGCTCTGGGATGGATTTGCTCATGATACTCTGGGATGAATGCAGACTATATTGCATGAAACATGACTGCACAAGTTTAATTTCCATTTAGAATACTGTTCTTGAGCTCACCGTGCATGTTCTTAAGCATGAATATGTTGCTTTTTTCCAGTGTATGCTACACAGCATTATCACAGTTTGCTGAAACTTGGTGCATTTTGGATGAGTTAGCTTATGATCCTTCTCCCTTCCCAGAAATCTTTCCGGAGAATCTGGCAGAGGTAGAGCTTAAAGACTGCTGCATTGTAGTAACAGTTACATTAGAGAAATTAACTATGATTCTGTTGCTAGGCCTATGTGGTGCTTGCCTATGTGGTGCTTTTTGATCTGAGAATCAGTGAATAAGGTCCCACGGTTTAAAATAATATATTCTGCAAAATAGTTAGAATGCACTGTTAAAGGAAATATGGAACAGATACTTTCTTTTCTAAAATTCCTTCTTTATTCAGTCATTTTGAAAATTACATTCTTTTAAACCAATAAGATACTTCATTTGTATTTCCCCAAGGTTCTGATGTTAAATATTTTATAACAATGGTGACTGCTACTTTTGTTCACAGATTCAGTGCCTGATCCACCAGTCGCTGATAAAGTAGATGGTATATCTGTTCAACAAAAATTAAATCCAAGCACGGAAGATGCAGTAGAGGAACAGAAGAGAATTGTCAATAATTCTCAGCATATGGCTGATGATTCTTTGGATTCCATAGGCATTCCGCTAAGAGTAAGGAAATGTGAAATATTTTCCTGTTGCATCAATTCATTTCTGTTGGTCTATTTTTTGTTACAGTCAAATTTCAGCATATAAATTATTTTGTTAGATATTGTCATGATGTAAATCCATTTAGCGTTTGTATACTTTTATGAACAATAATCCATATATTTTCTAATAGTATTATTTCACTACACTTCAGAAGGATGGCAAATTCCCCTGTCTTTGATTGCTTTTGGAAATTGTCCCCTTTCTTATTAGGCCTCTGTGGACAACATGCTGCCCTCCAAAGGAAGTCACAGAAATATAGCAACCTGCCTTTAAATCAGAGGTCTTCAAACTTGGCCCTTTTATGACTTGTGGACTTCAGCTCCCAGAATTCCTCAGCCAGCCATGCTGGCTGAGGAATTCTGGGAGCTGAAGTCCACAAGTCATAAAAGGGCCAAGTTTGAAGACCCCTGCTTTAAATTATGAATCAGAACATTTGCCCATTATTATGTTACTTGGTGTATCTAGAAGGCTTTCCCATAGCTTGAAAGTTCTAGCATTAAACAATATCATTAAGTGGTGCAAAAGCACCTCCAGGTTAAAAAAAAAGAATTACAATGCAAAAATCTCATTGTTAAATATTTACTAAACTTTGTGTGTAATAGAGAGCAAGTTTGACACTGTAAGTCTAATAAATGAAATAGTCAGGTTTTTGCTGAGGGAATGTACTTGGTCCTCAATTCTGAGCATCACTCTTAACAAAAGGGTCTCAGCATGATTGATTCTACCATCAAGCTGCTGTTGAATCGGCTGCCCCCCTGTGAGGGTGTGCTTAGATTGCTTGCATGGCAAGAAACACAAAACTCCTAAGCCAGAAAAACCACAGATCCTCAGCCATCAGTCAATAATCTCTTGAGATTCTTGTCAGGTTCTGTGCATTGGGTAGCACTCTTTGGATGGATGTAACAGCACCATCCAAGGAATCACAGCCCTTTGCAGTCTATTTCCCCAGATCCCACTCCATTAAGATTGCCTGATGACTAACCCTTTTGCCCTGCCCAGACTTTCACTGGGAAGTTATTCTCTTGAGTTTCCTGGAAGACCATCCTCCATCTGGGACAGTATGTCCCTCTGTAGCCACCAGGCAGACTAAGTTTGAATGACATCCTGAGGGTGGAAGGTGAGGAGATCCATCCTCCCTGACATAATCAGCTGAATTACTGCGCAGAGTTGCTGGACTTAGCCTTAGTTTGCTTTAAAATAATATTATTAGTAGCGACTTGAGCCTGCTTAACGCCCCTAGTTGGGGGCTGCAAGGCAAAAGTGATTGTAAAAAGTAGAACTGCAGTATAGCAATCAAAATGCCAAGGTGCAATCAATCAGACCGGTCTGTCTAAAAAACTTTCTGTATATACTCCCTTGACTAGGCTGACAAAGAGGGGAGGAGAGCCTGTGGCTTGGTAGTTAAACAACTGCCTAGTATGTAAACTGCCCACGTTAGAATCCCATAAAGGGTATGGCTAACTGAGGAGAGCAAATGAGCTCGAAATGGCCATATTAGTCTCCCAACTTAATTCTTTAACTCTTTGATATATATATATATATGTATATATATATGTGTGTGTGTGTGTGTGTGTATGTAAAGAGGAATGTGTATATATATATATATATATATATATATATATATATATATATATATATATATATATATATATANTTGGGTGTGGCCAAGGTGGGCGTGGTCACCTCAATGTTGCTCGTGGGGAGGATGCCTGTGGGGGCTGGGCAGGGTTGGGGGAGATCCAGGGGGTCTCTGGCAGGTGGGGCGGTGGGCAGGAGGCTTGTCCTGTGGGGTGAGGCGAGGCAAGGTGAGATAGGGTGGGGGTGCCATTGTCGCAGGGCAAGGCGAGGCAGGGGCCGGGACGGCTGCCACGTGACATCATCGCCCCCCGCACATAGAGGCCAGTGAGCGCATGAGGGTCCCTCAAGCGGCGCACTCTGGGGCTCCGCAGTCCGCCGCCAGCATTTCAGAGAAGCCGCCTCTGAGCTGGATGGCTAGCCGACAGCTGAGGAGGCGATGCAGTGGGTTGTGCCCGGGAAAAGGAGAGCATGCGAGGCCAGGAGGGATGGGATGGGGGGGGAGGGAAAGCAGCCATGCTGGGATGCATCCAACCACGTAGGACCTCGGCGAGTTAGCGGGCGGCTGGTTGAAGAGGGACAGTTGCCATCTCTGGGGCATGGTGCGTGTGCCCACAGAGAGGGCTCTGAGTGCCGCCTCTGGCACGCGTGCCATAGGTTCGCCACCACTGAGCTATATGTTGCTCTGTATGTGCACCATATAGAATTCTTCTTGAATAAAACATATATGGGGACCTTGTAAGGCAAGACATCCTCACTCAGACTTAGTCCCTATTAGTGTGTGTGGACTGTTTTGTGTTGTCCCAATGTTTTGAGCTTCGGTGCCCATATTGCTGGTAGCAAGTTAGTGTTGTAGCTTCCAGCAAGGGTAATGTCTATGAAGCACTTGGAAAGTTCTTAGGGATTTTTAGCCTTCTGAATTTGTGGAAAAAAAAGTATGTATGCCAATTTGTTTGAATCGAATGCATTATATATGGAACTCTTGCTCAGCACTTTTATTTGAAGGGCAAGGGGTTAAAAATGTTGGTTTTGATGAAATGCCAATGGGGGTGGGGTATTCAAGCTCTTGAGATTTTGTTCAACAGATTGTGAATGTCTTATGAAGAGTTGAGGGCAACCATGGTTTCAACAATTTATTTGTCTTTTCCCCTCCTCTCTTTCCAACAGCAGAGCAGCAAAAAAGGCTTAATAGCCTTGCAGGTACGATGCCCCAAATATTGTTATGCTATTTCTAGCTATTGATGTTTCTGCTGTTGTATTCAGTCAAGTGCTTTTTATCTAATAGAGTATCATTAGTGAATCTGTAAAGGAAAAAACTGCAATTCAGGGGTAGAGGAATTGTACTTTGTTCGGTGACTGTGACATATTTACGCTACTTTTCTCCAGAATTCCACAAGGCAATCTTGGAAAAAGAAGACACTGGGCCCATCGTTTAAAAAGAGCTTGAAATATCCCCCATATATCCAAGCCACAGATCATGAAATATCAGCAAAGTATTTGTACCTAATGTACCTCTTAGTTTGTACCTAATGATTATATGGATTTTTGCGGCCTAGTTCTGATAGTCCAGCCCCCGTTTTGCCAGAATGACTAGTCTGATACTTTTCTGTATTAGCATCCAACATTTTCAAATCATCAAGAATTTAATATTAAGATCATATTCAAAAGTGGGTGGGATCAATCTTTATTGATTTAAAATGTTAGTTGTTATTGAGGGGAACTAGTCCAGAACAATACATAAAAAGTATGTTAAAACATTCAGATAATTAGCTCTGGGATGGATTTGCTCATGATACTCTGGGATGAATGCAGACTATATTGCATGAAACATGACTGCACAAGTTTAATTTCCATTTAGAATACTGTTCTTGAGCTCACCGTGCATGTTCTTAAGCATGAGCATATTGCTTTTTTTCCAGTGCATGCTACACTGCATTATCACAGTTTGCTGAAACTTGATGCATTTTGGATAAGTTAGCTTATGATCCTTCTCCCTTCCCAGAAATCTTTCCGGAGAATCTGGCAGAGGTGGAGCTTAAAGACTGCTGCATTGTAGTAACAGTTACATTAGAGAAATTAACTATGATTCTGTTGCTAGGCCTATGTGGTGCTTTTTGATCTGAGAATCAGTCAATAAGGTCCCACAGTTTAAAATAATATATTCTGCAAAATAGTTAGAATGCACTGTTAAAGGAAATATGGAACACGTACTTTCTTTTCTAAAATTCCTTCTTTATTCAGTCATTTTGAAAATTACATTCTTTTAAACCAATAAGATACTTCATTTGTATTTCCCCAAGGTTCTGATGTTAAATATTTTATAACAATGGTGACTGCTACTTTTGTTTACAGATTCAGTGCCTGATCCACCAGTCGCTGATAAAGTAGATGGTATATCTGTTCAACAAAAATTAAATCCAACCACAGAAGATGCAGTAGAGAAACAGAAGAGAATTGTCAATAATTCTCAGCATATGGCTGATGATTCTTTGGATTCCATAGGCATTCCACTAAGAGTAAGGAAATGTGAAATATTTCCCTGTTGCATCAATTCATTTCTGTTGGTCTATTTTTTTGTTACAGTCAAATTTCAGCATATAAATTGTTTTGTTAGATATTGTCATGATGTAAATCCATTTAGCGTTTGTATACTTTTATGAACAATAATCCATATATTTTCTAATAGTATTATCTCACTACACTTCAGAAGGATGGCAAATTCCCCTGTCTTTGATTGCTTTTGGAGATTGTCCCCTTTCTTATTAGGCCTCTGTGGACAACATGCTGCCCTCCAAAGGAAGTCACAGAAATATAGCAACCTGCCTTTAAATCAGAGGTCTTCAAACTTGGCCCTTTTATGACTTGTGGACTTCAGCTCCCAGAATTCCTCAGCCAGCCATGCTGGCTGAGGAATTCTGGGAGCTGAAGTCCACAAGTCATAAAAGGGCCAAGTTTGAAGACCCCTGCTTTAAATTATGAATCAGAACATTTGCCCATTATTATGTTACTTGGTGTATCTAGAAGGCTTTCCCATAGCTTGAAAGTTCTAGCATTAAGCAATATCATTAAGTGGTGCAAAAGCACCTCCAGGTTAAAAAAAAAGAATTACAATGCAAAAATCTCATTGTTAAATATTTACTAAACTTTGTGTGTAATAGAGAGCCAGTTTGACACTGTAAGTCTAATAAATGAAATAGTCAGGTTTTTGCTGAGGGAATGTACTTGGTCCTCAATTCTGAGCATCACTCTAACAAAAGGTTCTCATCATGATTGATTTCTACCATCAAGCTGCTATTGAATCGGCTGCCCCCCTGTGAGGGTGTGCTTAGATTGCTTGCATGGCAAGAAACACAGAACTCCTAAGCCAGAAAAAACCACAGATCCTCAGCCATTGGTCAATAAATCTCTTGAGATTCTTGTCAGGTTCCGTGCATTGGGTAGCACTCTTTGGATTGGGATGTAACAGCACCACCCTAAGCACAGGGAATTACAGCCCTTTGCAGTCTATTTCCCCAGATCCCACTCCATTAAGATTGCCTGATGACTAACCCTTTTGCCCTGGCCAGATTTTCACAGAGAAGTTATTCTCTTGAGTTTCCTGGAAGACCATCCTCCATCTGGGACAGTTTCTCCCTCTGTAGCCACCAGGCAGAGACTAAGTTTGAATGACATCCTGAGGGTGGAAGGTGAGGAGATCCATCCTCCCTGACATAATCAGCTGAATTACTGCGCAGAGTTGCTGGACTTAGCCTTAGTTTGCTTTAAAATAATATTATTAGTAGCGACTTGAGCCTGCTTAATGCCCCTAGTTGGGGGCTGCAAGGCAAAAGTGATTGTAAAAAGTAGAACTGCAGTATAGCAATCAAAATGCCAAGGTACAATCAATCAGACTGGTCTGTCTAAAAAACTTTCTGTATATACTCCCTTGACTCGGCTGACAAAGAGGGGAGGAGAGTCTGTGGCTTGGTGGTTAAACAACTGCCTAGTATGTAAACTGCCCACGTTCGAATCCCATAAAGGGTATGGCTAACTGAGGAGAGCAAATGAGCTTGAAATGGCCATATTAGTCTCCCAACTTAATTCTTTAACTCTTTGATATATATATATATATATATCCATTCCTCTTTACAGCTTCCCTTCTTTTTTTCTTTACCTATAAGACAGAGACGTGAAGGGTATGGGGAAGATGTGTAGAAAATACAGCCATTTCCTTTTAAACTGAGGTAATTTGTGCTGTGGCAGCAACAGCACAACCCACAGACTATTAGAACTCCTTTTAACTTCTTCCTGTTGTTTGCTTCCAAGCTACGGATCAGTTGCATGGATTGGCATCAAATGGGAGCCAGCTTGCTGGTGTTTCCAGTGCTCAGTGCAAAAGATTTAGCAAAGGTGGGAAGGAGCCCCGTGTCAGGCTCATGAGCTGCAAGGAGGGTGGGAATCAGACTATCAGAGATGATAGAGAACCATGTGGAAGCAATCCAGCATGCTGTGAAGAAGCAAAACCTTTCTTTACTCTGCTGAATATCTTAAAAAATATAAGGAGCAAGAAGTGGGTAACTCCAATGAAAACTATTGTAACCATGTAGATCAGACATGTCAAACTTGTGACGTCACGTGGCATTGCGCAATGTATCGGGCCGGTTTTGCCATTGCTGGCAATGGGGTGGGTGCGGCTTCCACGTGACGCGTCCGGCCCGTGGGCCAGCAGTTTGACACCCCTGATGTGGATTAACAAAGAGGCTGCCTTCTCCTCCCAACAAAAACCTGAAATGATTAAAAGTTACTTTGATTGATGTGTCTATATCTGCTCTCACATCCTCCCCTGCCCTTCCACAGACAGAGAAGGGAAGACAGAGATGGATCTACATAAGATGCTCAGTGCCTCAGCAGCCATGTAGACATCTATCCATCAATTTCCTGTAGACTTTTCTTTGCTAGTGCCACCTAGAGGTGGTCTGAAATGCGTAGCAAATCTAAACAAGCAAGGGACAAGCTCTGGAACATTCCTTGGGCAGCTGCTACTGTGGCAGATTCTTCTCTAGATGTATTCCAGCATGATGACACATGGCAATTGTGTCAGAATTTAGGAAGAGTTTCTGGCTGGCAGCTGGTATGTGGCGCCTGGCATCTATTTCATTTATGGGGAAAAGCTCTTGATGTAATCTTGGATGAATCGAAGAAACAAAAGTCCCTTCCTCTAATAATAATAATAAAAAAGAATGTAAACTTAAGGTGCTATTTTCCTTTAATTTAAATGGGTGCACATCCGGATGGTTTTAAGGAAGCTGAAGATTTGGATAACCTGTTATCTGGCTGGCATGTATTTTGTCAGCTTGAGGACTAGACCAAATTTTATGTGACATTTGGAGGGCCATGCTTCAAGAGTGAATTATGCCAAAACCCATTTTGGAAGGTGGGTTTCTGGAGTTTTAACAGGTGAAATAAGCACCCATTTTAGCTCTCTAAAATCTTCCACAAATGTGAAAAAGGGAACCAGATTTTTTCACCCAATTGTGAAAAACAGCATACTGGTGAACTACATAAAACCCTTCAACCCTAGTACTTTATGTACACTTAGTCTAAATCAGGGGTTCCTAACCAGGGGTGCTGACACCCCCTGGGGGTGCGAGATGATATTCCAAGGGGTGCAAAAACTTAGGTTTTCAAAATTATAGTGTATATGGATAATTCGTTGCTGTTATTTTGAACTTTTGTAAGGGGTGCGAGAATATATCAGAAGCATTCTGGGGGGGGCAGGGTATAGAAAAGGTTGGGAACCACTGGTCTAAATTGTACAAATCCTCATGAAATGTAGTTATCCTTCAACATAAGCCTCCAAATGTTCCAAAGGCTATAACTACCATAGATAGTTGTGGGTATGGAGGTTAGTGGTCAAAGACTAAATTTGAAAATTTGTTTTGAGGAGAAGAATGATATTTATAGTGTTGCCTTTATCAGGATATCAACGTTTCTCAAGGCCATCAACCATCCAACCAGCTATGGAGATAAGTGGCAGAGCCAGTGCCAAAGCAATAATACAATCTAGAAATTGATCGTTGTTATTTTGGTGCCTAAAACTGATGCTGTCACAAGAGCTAAACAGTATTTAATGTAGCTCAACAATATAGAATTTGTTCAAAAAGAATTTGGATGCTCTTTCAATGGTTATCTGTGACCAGTTTTCCACACTTGCCTGTAGGAATGATCAACCTTGCTTTCAGATGTTTGGTGATCATCCAAAATTAGGGAATCCCTGCTTTGCTAAGCTGCATTCTCTGAAGATTCCAGGATCTGAAAGATTCCACACAGATTATTGCCCAGATCTAGAACCCCAAAGTGTGAATTAACAGATAACCACTTGAAGATCTACCAGTACAAGTAATCAGTTCTTACAACTATACACATTATTTTAATATTGCCTAGTTTTTGGTCCTAAATGTGTGATAGCAAGATTGCCTGTAGCATTGGTGTGAAGATCCATGTAATATGTGTTTATTGGCCATTTTTACATTTGATATTCTACGATCATAGTATTAATTGGGTGGACTGATATGACATTGAACATGCACTGACAAACCAGCTAAAAAGAACGCAATCAGTGTCAGAGATCACAAACACTAAAGATTCTGATTTAGACAAATCAAATGAAGTAACAATATTATAAGCAGTCAACAAACAGCTTGAGAAATAACAAGAAGTGAAATGGACAGCATTTAATGAAGGGATTTGAATGAAATTAGTACAGTGATGTGGAACCTGTAGATGTCTCTGATGGTACTGTTGGCTGTGATGGTTGGTGCTGTAGCAACATGTGCAGAACTGCAAGAATTCCATACTTGTATTAGAATTAACATTGGCAAAACACCACCGTTAAAATTGGAAATTTAGGACGGACTTGCCTTCCTAAAACTTTCTGTATCCCATACATTTCTTGATTAACTAATCGAACAGTCCAAAACCCCACAGTTGGAAAAAAACAGGTCTTTTGCATCCCCAGATTTTCCAGGGAGTCTATGATGAGCAGAAATTATTAACATAAGGTAATAGGTATAAGATACCATACGTTGAATGGGTGTTTCAGTCTTTTCAAATGCTGTGTTATCTTTCTTTTTCAATTAGAATTCAGAGCGATCCAAGGACTGGTACAAGATAATGTTCAAACAAATCCACAGATTGGCAAAAGGTATATCTACCGTAATTTAAAACGTTCTGTCTGTCTACTTACCTGTTTCCTTTGGGATGGAATATCCTGGTTTAGTTGTGGGGGGGGAGGAAGGCAGCTAAAATGAATTCAGGATGTGGCTTTAAACTTTCTCCCCAAGAAATCTCCTTCCCCACACCTCCCTCAAAAAACAGCTGCTAGTCCTGAGACAGAATTCTCCCATAGCTGCCAGTGGAAAATGATCTCCCAGGCCCAGAACTTATAGCAAGGAGATAGCTAAATAGTCCTAACCTCATTTCCTGACCTCAGGAGTGCATCATATCGTGCATTCACACATACCTTTGGCCAATTTGCAACTAAATGTATGTATGCTGAACTATCACACTCTACCAAAGAGAATTCCCCTTTGGAAGCATTTCTAAAGCAAATCCTCTTTCCTTAAGTTGAATCAGAATTGATAGCAAAACTGCAAGATTTCTGTGCCTACCAATTGAGCAACAAGGACGGGTTAATTTGAAACAAACTATCCTGGAATGCATGGGAAACACTCTGTGCTGATACGCTGCCCGTGGCTGAACTGGAGCGGCAGCCTAAGACTAAATTATGCATTTTTGAGGGATGGCAACCCTATTCAGGTTGTGTGTATTGGGAGTTTCCTCTGATATATCCCACTCCATTTACAGCATATATTTCCTCTCTGTTCTTTTTTTTTTTTCTGAAATGTGCTCTTCCTGCACAGACACTCCTGAAGATAACCCTTATTGCCCTACCTACATATTCCCCGAGCTTCCTGTTATTCAACCCCAAAGAAAAGGTACCACAAGTTTAGCAAGAATATATCTTGTTTTGTGTTTGGCTAACCGTAGTTTAATCTGTCATACTACAATATGACTCATTAAAAACTGAGCGCTATTCCGAATGTCTCCTTGTTTTGTGTCGACGGAGACCTTCTGCTCTCTCTTGGGAGTAGTGAATGTTAGTAGCAAAGCGGGGTGCAAAAACATAATGGGATAGGAAATTGAGAAGGGGTGAAGTTCCTCCATTTAAGCATGGCTGCTCTCCAACCCCACTGCTTTTCTCTGCTGCAGAACAAAATCCTTATTCTCCTACTTACCAGTTTCCTGTGTCTACTCCTAGCCCTAGATCTGAAGGTAATTTGTTAAGATCAATTGACTTTTGCTTTTGAGCAAGCTTCTGCTTTCTTAATTTTCCAGCCAGAGTTTTTGTAGTTGCCAAGTCTCCGTTGCTGTCTTTTAATTGTAGTTGCCAACTGCTTTTTGCTCTTGCATCCTCAATGGTATACAACCTCTTTCTTAGCTTTGCCTCGCTTTTTTCAGTTTTCTAATAGTCTCCTAATTAATGTTGTGGAGCTTGGATTTTCTTTGGTTTGTGTTGCCAGTGTTGTCAGTTCAAGATAGTTATCCAGGCATCTGAAATCACATAGCACATGGACACCAGACCATAAAGACACACGTTCTTACTAAATGGAATGAAAAATCTTGAATGCATATTTGTCAAGGCCTCCTTTACCTAGGGCAGTGGGGGTGAACCTATGGCACGCGTGCCAGAGGCGGCACTCAGAGCCCTCTCTGTGGGCACGCGTGCCATGCCCCGGAGATGGCAACCGTCCCTCTTCAACCAGCCGCCCGCTAACTTGCCGAGGTCCCGCGTGGCTGACTGCATCCCAGCACGGCTGGTTTCCCTCCCCTCCGTCCCATCCCTCCTGGCCTCACATGCTCTCCTTTTCCCGGGCACGACCCACTGCATCACCTCCTCAGCTGTCGGCTATCCATCCAGCTCAGAGGTGGCTTTTCTGAACTGCTGGCAGCGGGCTACGGAGTTCCAGAGAGCACTGGTCGAGGGGCCGGCAGGCTGTGGCTGCTGACAGACACTGTCGGCCCGCATGTGCTTGCTGGCCTCTGTGTGCGGGGGCCGATGGTGTCGGGCAGCAGCCGCCTTGGCCCCTGCCTCACCTTGCCCTGCGACAATGGCACCCCTGCCCTGCCTTGCCTTGCCTCACCCTGCAGGACGAGCCTCCTGCTCACCGTCCCACCTGCCAGAGACTCCCTGGATTTCCCCCAAACCTGCCCAGCCCCCTCAGGCGTCCCTGCCCATGAGCAACATTGAGGTGACCATGCCCACCTTGGCCACACCCACCCAGTCTGCCATGACCACAGCCACGCCTATCCAGTGGGCCACGCCCACCTGGCACCTGGCGATAAATAAGTGGGTTTTGGGTTACAGTTTGGGCACTTGGTCTCTAAAAGGTTCACCATCACTGTCCTAGGGCAAGGCTAGTGCAGCAGTGATGGTTGCAAGATCCAGCATGTTTTGTGTGTCACCCACACCTACAGGACAGTGCTCCCTATTAAAAATTGTGTACAGTATCCATATTTCAAGTGATCTACTTTCTATGAAATAACATAGAATTGCATCCAATTTTGAAATGGAAAGTTGTTACCCATAGCATTCTTATGGATACAGGCGAAGTTATGGCATCTTCTACCAGAGGGTAATCCCTGGAAGACTTATGCTACTTTGAATATTATTGGCCTAGTGCAACTTTAAAATGTGTAGACTACAATTCCCCAGCCAGTCATGGGGAATTCTGGAGTTGAAGACCACGTGTCTTAAAGTTGCCAAGATTGAGAAGATGGGTCTAGTGACTCATGTTGGACCACATTTTTAATCCAAACAAAGTTTGGGTCAGACATACTTCTTTGCCATGTTGAAGAAGAGGTTCCCAATCCAGCAGTTAGAATACTTGATATTGAATGGCTCAAAGGTGATATTTTTGTACAAAAGCCTACCTATCTTGATATTAATAGCTTTGATATCAGAATTGTTGTTTCTCACTGTGATGAATCATTAGGCTAGTTGAAAAAGGTATTTCCTCTAATGATTAAGTGGGGCTTTTACCCCTCTAGCTTCCGACATCGGGTAACCCTCCCATTGGATTAAGTATTAATTTTTCCTTGTGGATTCTAGAATCGAGGATCGGCTTAACCTCATAATACGTTTCCCCCTCTACCACTATTGGGGCTGGGGCTGCTTCCTCTACTGGCCTTGTTGTGGACCCCCTGTGTGGCTTCAGTAAGCTGCAATGGAATATTGGGTGAACTTTACCTAACAGCCTCGGTAGTTTTAATTCTATAGTCATTGGATTTATGATTTTTACAATAGGAAAAGGACTGATGAACCTCTTCCCTAACTTTGTTTCAACTTAAGATATTTAGTAGACAGATACACTTTGTCCCCTATATGGAAAGTCCCCTGCGGAGCTCGCTTTCTATCCGCTTGCCTTTTCTGGCTTTCGGCTGCCTTATTCTAAGCCTTCTTCGCATCACTCCAAACCCTCTGAAAGGAACCCACCCAGTCACTTAGGGCGGTAGAGGATGGGGGTTCCAGTGGGCACTCTGGAATGGGCACAAATTCTACTCCTGTGGGTAACTTAAATGGAGTGAAACCAGTACTGCTGTGCACTGCGTTGTTATACACCACTTCTGCAAATGGCAAGGGTTCTGACCAGTTCGTTTGCTGATGGTTGACATAGCAACGCAGGTGCTGTTCCGCTGTTGCGTTAGCTCATTCTGCAGATCCATTCGTACATGGATGAAAAGCAGAACTGAGCTCCTGGGAAGACTCACTCATTTTCACAAATTCCCTCCAAAACGTAGCAGTAAATTGGGCCCTCCAATCTGAAATGATGCACTTAGGCACACCATGTAGCCGGTAGATGTGTTGCAAAAACATCTTCGCTACATTTGGGCTGAGGGGAGTCCAGCACACACAATAAAGTGGGCTTGCTTGGAAAATAGGTCTATCACAGTCCATATTATGGTGTTTCCCCCACTTTCCGATAGCTCCACTAAAAGTCCATGGCTATCTCCTCCCAGGGTCTTGTTGGGTCAGCCACCTGCTGTAACAGTCCCGGACTCTTCCCGGGTAGTCTTTTGCTGGCTGCACAGATAGCACAGCTCCCCACATAGTTCTCAATGTCTTTCTTCATCTTTGGCCACCAGAACTGACGATTAGTGAGATGCAGTGTCTACAGGAACCCAAAGTGGCCTGCCTGCTTGGCATTATGGCTGTGTTGCAGGACTTGCAATCAGAGGCTGTCTGGGACATACAATTTGCCCCCTTTCCATGCCACAAACCATGTGTCAGTTTGCAGCTGTTGCTTCAGCTGTTGTGCAAATGCATCGGTGGGGGGTGAGCTCCTTTTCTCTTGCCTTCTGGTTGTCGCTTGTGACACTTGCTGTCTATCGGGAATGACAAAACTCACCACCTCCTGCTGGGTGCTTTTGTATTGGGGCATGCGGGACAGAGTATCTGCTAGGAAGTTCTCCCCTGGGAAGTATTTTAGTTCAAAATCAAACCTTTTGAAATACTGCACCCATCTAGGGGGGGAGGTTCAGGGCTTCTAAGTTTTTATGATCAGTCCACACTTCAAAGGGGGCTTTACTTCCCTCCAGGAACTGCCTCCAAGTTAGTAATGCCCACCACACCGCAAATGCCTCTTTCTCCCAGACTGCTCACCTCCGTTCCGTCTCATTTAGCTTGCGAAATGTGTACGCGCATGGCTGTAAGTTTCTCTCTCCATTGTGCTCAAGGAGGACAGCTCCCACAGCCACGTTTCTGGCATCTGCCTGGATCATGAAAGGCTCTTCAGGGTTTGGGTGTTTTAGCACAGGTTCAGTGGCGAACAGCCCCTTCAACTTTTTGAATCTTAGCAGTGGCATCCCCACATAAATTAGGAACGAGATAAAATTGACAGACCTAATAAGTCTTGGAAATTGTCCCATCCCCTTCTACATAATCTATCCCTCCAGATCCTTGAAAAATAATATGATGTCCTCATCTTCTACTGATATTGCCGAAAACAGGGTCTTCAAACTTTGCCCTTTTATGACTGTGGACTTCAATTCCCAGAATTCCTTAGCCAGCGTGCCTGGCTGAGGAATTCTGGGAGTTGAAGTCCACAAGTCATAAAAGGCCAAGTTTGAAGACTCCTGGCCTAAAACCACATTTGTCTTTTTTAGCAGCCATATCAGCCTGTTGAATCATATTTAGCTTGTAAGTGTTCAACTACAATTCCAATGTCCTTTTCACTCATACTGTACCCCAAACCAGAAATCCTTCATATGCCTGTGTGTTGTTGTTTTTTTTTTGCCTCTGAATAAGTTTGTATTTGTTGCTATTACATTTATATTCAATGCCATTTCGATCCACTTCTTCTGACAAAAATTTATCAAGATCATTCTGAATTTTATTTCTGACTTCTTAGTCTCATAGTTGCCCTATCCAGTTTTCTGGTAAGTTTTCTTCTGTACCAAAGAGTCATATGGCACCTTACATTATAGTTCTCCCAACTTGATGAAGAGCCATTGATGAGCGTTCTGGGTGGAGTTTCAGGCCCGCTATGGATTAAATATATGGAAATTTCACCCAGCCAAACTTGAATAACTTGCTAATCAGAATGTCACGCATACATTGTCAGATGTTTTACAGCATTTCCACATTGTGTGTAAGACATTACCTGATCCAGAAATAAAATTAATCTGACAACAAGATATGCTGCATTGTTTTCTAAGAACCTAGGCACCAGTGGTTCTATTGCAGATTTGTGTAATTATCTTCCCAGATAAAGTACCACCTTATAAAAACACTGTCTAGTTACCTAACCAGTTGTGATTGTATGGGTAATCCCATGACGATCAGACTTTGCTTCACTGAATTCAGAAAGCAGGTGCAACCCTTGTCTGCCCCTCATTGTATTTTCATTTCAGGTGACATCCATTCTGTAATTGCCTGGTTGAGTCCCTCGCTAGGATCCCTGGTGGAATTGTTTTTAATTCCTAAATCTGATGCTATCGTTGCTTTAAGAAGCTTCTCCTTCTCACATTCCTTTCCTTGTGTTAAGACAGGAATATTGTATGGCATGAATGTATCAGATCAGGGGTGTGGAGACTGTCCCAAGTTCTTTGACCATCAGGCAATTGTAAGCAGCAAATGACTAACGCAGGGGCCTTCAAACTTGGCCCTTTTATGACTCGTGGACTTCAACTCCCAGAATTCCTCAGCCAGGCACGCTGGCTGAGGAATTCTGGGAGTTGAAGTCCACAAGTCATAAAAGGGCCAAGTTTGAAGACCCCTGGACTAAAGGATGCACTTTAACTTCCAGTCCTGTGGGAATGTTTGTAAAAAATATTTATTGATCAAATCTTTGTAAATTTTATTTATTTTTATCAAATATCTACGCTGTCCATCTCACCTAAAGCGACTCTGGGTGGTTTGTAAATTACTCCTTAGCCTGAAAAGTTCAGTGCTCAAATGCAGGCTGGAGGTCCATAGATTCATTCTTTTCTGATTTTCCATCAGCCCCGCTGTGCAAAATATATGTTTTCAAATGTGAGGCAGTGTTGTTTTGCTAAGTGTAGTCCATCCTTGCTAAATTACCTTGTATTATGACAGTGGTGGCGAACCTACGGCACGCGTGGCAGAGGTGGCACTCAGAACCCTCTCTGTGGGCACACGTGCCATGCCCCGGAGATGGCAACCATCCCTCTTCAATCAACCGCCCGCTTACTCGCTGAGGTCCCACGTGGCCGGATACATCCCAGCATGGCCGGTTTCCCTCCCCCCGTCCCATCCCTCCTGGCCTCGCATGCTCTCCTTTTCCCGGGTACGACCTACTGCATTGCCTCCTCAGCTGTCGGCTGGCCATCCAGCTCAGAGGCAGCTTCTCTGAACTGCTGGCGGTGGGCTGCAGAGCCCCAGAGTGCGCCAGTCGAGGGACCAGCAGGCTGTGGCTGCTGATGGACACTATTGGCCCCCATGCCCTCGCTGGCCTCTGTGTGTGTGGGCCAATGGTGTCAGGCAGCAGCTGCCCCTGGCCCCTGCCCCACCTTGCCCTGCAACAATGGCACCCCCGCCCTGCCTCGCCTTGCCTCACCCTGCAGGACGAGCCTCCTGCCCACCGCCCCACCTGCCAGAGACCCCCTGGATCTCCCCCAATCCTGCCCGGCCCCCACAGGCATCCCTCCCCACAAGCAACATCGAGGTGACCATGCCCACCTTGGCCACACCCACTCAGTCTGCCATGACCACCACAGCCACGCCCACCCAGTGGGCCACGCCAATCCAGCACCCGGCGATAAATAAGTGGGTTTGGGGTTGCAGTTTGGGCACTCGGTCTCTAAAAGGTTCGCCATCACTGTATTATGAGAAGTTTGGCACGTTTCACTGAGGGATTATGAAGAATCTTTTCTTAGGATTTTTTTGATACTTCATAGACCTGGAAGCTTAGTTGGTGAAATGAAAATGTTTGGAGCATGTGAATCGTTGCAAGGTGGGAGGGGAGTAAATGGAAAATTTTGGCTCTGATTCCAGAGTATGAGACCACTGGGACATATTAATTTGAATAAGCAAAGGCCTATGGAGTTAGCATGGTATTTTTGGCGTTCAGTTTAAAAAGGTCGGGATTGGAATAGTAACTTGCATTTTCCATTCCAAGGTATTTCCAGGTACCCTTTTTATTATTAAGGAAGAATGCTGTGATTTTGGGAAAGTTGATGTGATAGATATGTATAGGGTTTCTGTAAAAATAGTTTAGAATATGATTTGAATGAATACAGCTGTGAACCTGTGTATAAATCAATATATATTTTAAATGGATTAGGACTGAATTTTGAGGACATGTACATACTGTAGAACTGGATTGTAATATTGATAAAGGGGCCTGGTTCATATACTATATTGCAGTTTAATGCAATAACTGAACACATCTGGTTTGATTTGCTGTTATTTAAAAAGCATATCACCATAGTTTATCCATAATCTTGGTTTAATGTTACATGTAAACCAGATCTCATGCAGTTGCCCCATTGAAGCCTTCATGTATCTCCTCTGCTTATGGAGAGAGAAAGCCCAGCTCTTGGCCTTCCCTGTACATATTCAAAGAGTTTCAAGGTATATTTATTAGGACAAAGTTTTATTAGGTCCTAATAAATGGGGTGACATGAAAACTGTGTGGGCATTCAAGTATACGTGAATACTGAGTGTATTTAATTCTTGGAGTTATGAATAACCCACCCATATATTCCTTGCAATGTACTGATGGCTGCTTTTGCATAAAGAATGCAGTGTCTTTGTTATTAATCAAACTACCAGAAATGATAATAGAATTTGCACTTGGATTCATGGAGTGGCAGAAGGGGAAGCCGTAGCCATAAATATATAATAGAATATCTAAACAGATAGCAAATTATGTTTTTTATTTCCAGATGAAGATTCTGATTCATATTTTCCACAGGACTCCTTTGGCAAAGAAGGTAAGTATTTGAACACAGAAATGAGTTATATGAGTGCTAAAGGTTGTATGAAAAAGAAAATTACATGATGTGTTGAATAAATCTTACTCTAGTTGAAAAAGCATTATATACCCAGAATACAACAAACCATCATGTTGTCAATGCTGCTAACATCAGATGTTCTTGCTTTGACAACATATGGAGATGCAACCATTTTCCTTCTTATGTTTTACTCTTAGAATTAGAGTTAGAATTAGATGATACTGGAGGAGAGGAGGAATGTGCATGAGAGTTTAGTCGGACATAACAATACTGTAACTAGGGTGAGAACCAAGGTTTTTTTGAAATAAGAGATGGTAAGAAATGGCGGGTTGAAGAACTGGAGGGAAAGCCTGCATTTCAAACTAATTGGAAAATGTGATTTATGATTGTTAATTAGAGGAAGGAATTGTGCTTTGATACTATGTGCTCAGGGGAGGGGAATTCAGATTTTGGCTTTACCTATGTACGTGCCAATGCTATGCTACTCGAATAAATATTCTTTAAGGTAAACAATGCCTCGAAGTTCTTTGAAGAGTTTCATCTGTCAGAACCATGACACATATTTTGGAATATTAGTTCCTTTCTTCTCCTACAAAACATGTCTGACTTTGTCCCTTTGCAGTAACAGCACAAACTTCAGTGCCCCGTTCCAAGAGTGAGAATGATACTATCAGCACAGACAAGACAATGAAGAGATCGTTCACTTTGCCGCTGCCCGCTCGTTCTTCATCTCTTAAATCGAACTCTGAGAGGTAATCATAGATAAGAACAGTTGAAGTAGTAGCTCAGGGTAATACAATTAGCACAGGAATAGGCAACCTTGGCTCTTTTATGACTCGTGGACTTCAACTCCCAGAATTCCTGAGCCAGCCATGCTGAGGGGAAAGGGAGAGGTTTCCAAGCTGAGCCATACTGGCTCAGGAATTCTGGGAGTTGAAGTCCACGAGTCATAAAAGAGCCAAGGTTGCCTACCCCTGATTTACTAGCAGCAAACAAACAAGCCACTTTGGTGTGGTAGTTAAGGTGCTGGCCTAGAAACTAGGAGTTAATGAGTTCTAGTCCTGTTTTGGACATGAAAGCTGGCTGAGTGACTTTGGGCCAGTCACTCCCTCTCAGCTCAACCCACCTCATAGGGCTGTTGTGTGGAAAGTGGGAGGAGTATTAGGTATGTTCACTGCCTTGAGTTACTTATCAAGTAATAAGAGCACAATTTAAAAAAAATGAAAAATAATAAACTAAATTGAAAACTAGGTTTCCCTATATCATTCACAAAATAATATATAGTAAGCACATACATTTTAGATAGAATTTGTATCCAAGTAAGTGTATTTTGGGTTCATCTTGTGCTCTGTTTGCTATGGCACAATTATGCAATGAAGGATAACAATCTTCTTGGCTCCATTTTAAATAAGTGGTGTCTTAAATGTCATTTGGCTAAAAATTAGGAATTGGCTCAACTGAGGTTCCAAAGTTTGCCAATTACTTTGGTGTGTGTGTGTCTGTGGTGTTTGTGTTTCCAGGGAGCATTTATTTGAGCAGGGACTTATTTGCTTTTTATAATGAAAAAGAAGAACAAACCTATAGTACAAATAATAGACCTAACTAAGCCTTACAATGTTCCTCAGCAGAAGGCATGTATGTGAAGCAGGATTGGTCAGAGAATGAAAATGAGAATGGAAAAAAAATTACAAATTAAAGACATAGCTAATACTTTGATTTGTGGCATTTGTAAGAAACAGAATTATGGTTTGGAGAATTAGTGAAAAAAAATCATTCTGCGGACAAATTGGATGACGCTTCCTCTCTTTCTTTTCAGCTTCTAAAGAAAACGTTGATTGCTGTGAGGTGAACGGTTGCGCTTTATTTTTCTTTTCTTTTCCTTTTTTCTTTAAAGGAATGATTGGGAGCCTCCAGACAAAAAAATAGACTCGAGGAAGCACTGGGCCGAACCTAAAAGCATTTATGAATATCGTCCAGGGATGTCCTCAGTTCTGGACAGTGAAAGATTGGTAATGGTAACTTGATTTTACATTTATGTGCACGTTTTCCGTTGCGCTCTGTGGATTTGGTTCCTGCCTGAAATGTTATCTCCTGAAAGCCGGCAGAGAAACTGGCCAAATGATCATGGCTTTGGAACAGAGAGACCTAATTTGAGGAATAGTGTGAGATTCTCTCCCCTTGGGATCAACCTGAGAAGCCATGTTCCTATGTGGAGACAGCAGATTGAGGGGCAGAATAAATGCTTGACAGGCCTTCAGGGGGCTGATTGCCTTCTTGGGTGGTAAGATAGGTCTGCTGCACTTCATCCCTTATTGCAGTGTTCCTCAACCTTGACAATTTTAAGGCATGTGGACTTCAACTCCCAGAAATCCACAGCCAGCAATGCTGGCTGTGGAATTCTGGGAGTTGAAGTCCACATGCCTTAAAATTGTCAAGGTTGAGAAACACTGCCTTATTGATTCACTACCACATCACAACTGGCAGGGGGCAGGAAGGAAGAAGTGGGAGAGGCAGTTTGTACACTGGCAGGCAGGCAAGCAGGCAGGCAGGCACCAGCCCTCAACCAGCCCCTCTCCTACTGGGGCAAAGACAAGTGCTCCTTGTGCTACAAGTAAATATCATTACCATTCAGATAATGAAAATACTGCTGTTTCTCCATTTTCCTGTGAATAAGGGGAGACGTTCTTTCTTTTGTGCCAACCTTTTTGCTGCAGGATCCCAATCCACAAATAAATCAACTATCCAGTTTTTTTTCTAAATGGATGGAAGGGAAAGAATGGATCATTTTTTTTCTTTCTCCTCTGGCTACAGCAGCCAAACTACTGGGGAAGAAAACATTATTTTCTCTCCTACTATTCTTCTTCATATAAAATGGAGGAATGTTTTCTCTCTTTTTCTAATTAGTATTTTACAAGAAGCGTTACCAAATATGCACCTCCTGAAAAGATCAGCACAGGTGCTATTTCCTAGAGATCTCTGTACATACAGCAAGATGTAAGAGAAGGAATCAGCTCAGGTTGTTAGATGGGCTGTTAATGAGCCAGTCCAAAATCTGTGAAGTCCTTCCCAGACTGATAGGTCAATAAATAAAATATATCCTTAAACCTTGTATGACAGTGATGGCGAACCTTTTAGAGACAGAGTGTCCAAACTGCAACCCAAAACCCACTTATGCATCGTCGAGTGCCGGGTGGGTGTAGCCCATTGGTTGGGTGTGGCCCATTGGGTAGGCGTGGCCAATTGGATGGGCGTGGCTGCAGTGGTAACGACAGACTGGGTGGACTAAAAAGTTCAATCAATCAATTCCAACTTTGCAAGATCTTTTTTTTTCCTGCGAGAAGTTGAAATTGACTGATTGAACCTTTTTTTTTTTTTGTGCACACGGCGGCGGATGCCTAAAGCGAAAAGGTTTTATAAAACCCAGCTGAAGGCCTAGGACTGGGGCAACTGCGCGCGTGCCCACAGAGAGGGCTCTGAGTGCCGCCTCTGGCACCCGTGCCATAGGTTCGCCACCACTGTTGTATGATGTTTCTACATGCCACAGTTTCTAAATGTGAGCTACTTTTAAAGAACAGTTCTTTAGTGGAAGAGCATTCAGAAGTTTCTGCAATCAACAAACAAATCTCAGCTTCAAATTCTATGAAAAGGCTCTACCAGAAAGTTGGTGGTTAAAAAATAATTCTATAAGGAAGCTCAGCTGTATTTTAAAACATGAGTAACAAATCGGTGATTTACATTCTTCCCTCTGTAATGTGGCCAACTAGACTAATTTCCTTAGCTGACTGTAATTTGGTCGCAAGGGGGAATTTTAAAAAATTGAATGGTTTGAAAGAGCTAAATTAGATGCAATCACTGAATATAGATCTATATCACTATATGATCAGTGATAGAATTGTCAAGAACAAATTTGCCACGTATCGCTCTGTTTTTATTGGCTAACTTCCTTAATAAATTGTGGGAATGCTGTGGATGTAATAACACTGATTTCAGTTAAACATTTGACAAAATTCCCTGTTGAATCTGAATTAACAAGCTAGTTAAATGTAACCTAGATAGCATGACAATTTTGAATCAAAATTTCCTTTAAAAATGTTTCTTATTAAAGCGGAGGTGGTTGCCACATGTCAATACCCAAGCCTTTAAATTTTGGGTGTATTTTACCTGGATAACAACATGGAGAGAATACTTAACAAATTTCCAGGTAGAACAAACTTGAACAGGATTCTAGAAGACACAAACTACATTCAAAACAATCTTTTGAATTGTTTCTTAAGAATTTAAATGTAACAGAATTAAATTTAAAAGACAAATGTGAAACATTTTTTTGAGGGAAAAAAACTGTAAGAAAATATTCAGGAGTAGAATTGGGTGTAGCTAGCTTTTGTAGTAGTACTTATGAAGAGCATCTTGGAATTGGAATTGATAATCAGATTAATATGAGTGTGATATGGAAGCAAAAGACCTTTGCAAACCTGGGAGTGTATTAAGCACCACTCTAATTTAATTTTAATAATTTAATTTAATAATTTAATTTATATACCGCCCTTCTCCCGTAGGACTCAGGGCGGTGCACAGCATATTAAAACAGACAAACAAAATACATCAAAGAACAAAAAAACCCCATAAAACCAAATTAAAAGCCAAATATTAGAAGCTGTGTGTCAATTAAAATTTTCTTAAAATCATCCCTACCTAAAATCCTCC